CCCTTTCCACCTCAGCCACAGATCTGAAAGAGGATCCTACAGGAGCAGGAGCTGCACTCAGACATGGGGATAAGTGCTGTAGGACAGCATCCAGCTGAGCGGTTGGGTTTGGCTTTTCCATGATGACTTTGATGATGAGGAAGATCACCAAGAGCCCAGGTCACCACCCTGCATTTATAAGGGCGGGACAGCACTCAGGGCAGAGCTCAACCACAACATGGGTAGCATCAAGATGAGAGTCTGTGGATGCTATTTGCTCCTCTTCACCTCTCCATGGCACGTGCTGGTGCCTGTACACACCCAAGAGCTTCTCAAGAAGCTGTGGGTCTCACCAGCTTGGCTGGGTGAGGTGTAGGAGTGAAGGAAGGAAGAAAGGGAAGGTTTGGCAACAGGACAGCTTGTCACTAGAGGCTGGGAAGTAAGTAGGGAAAGTTCAAGCATGCTTTTACATGCTCCTTTTCCTATACTCTACTCATTCTCAGCTGCTGATGGCTGTGAGGACATAGCCAACAAGCATGTAGAGCCCATCACCTGGCATGCTCAGTCATACGCTGCATTGTGCTGGAGCCGGTGGTTTGGTAAGTTAAAGAGCCTATCCTTGAAGAGTGCCCTGCTGGGAAAGTAAAGGCCTGGAGGGGAAATGCTGGAGTAAGGAGAGAAGGAAAAGTGAAGCTAGCTTAAAAATGGGGAGCTGCAAAGAGAGGTTACAAAGGCTTTGTATTCCTCTCAAGTTGGGCCATGCTTAAAAATTATATATTCGATGTACACTGTTCTCAGCAGTGCACTTGGTACTCTCATCTGCCTGCATTAACTCTGCAAGTGATATTTGAGGAGATACATATTGAGATTGAATATGGATCCATAACAGACCTGCAGCACAGTTCTGAAGATGATTTTTGACATCTTTAAGCATGTCCCCCACTGCCACCATGCAAGTGATGGGTTCAGTCTGACTAGTCTGTAGGTTCAGACTGACCAGCTTGTGCCACTGGTGTGACAGTCAGGTCACCCTCACCTTTTCCTCAAGCACCTACACTGTAAAGCAGACACTGCTGAGAGGTGGGGTTTGTTCTGCTGGAATTTGCTGTCCTTCATCTTTCCCCTCTCCCTGGGCTGATTTCACAGCCTGTGGGTCAAGGCACTTGCTGCAGGAGGGGGGGTGGAGGTACAGCTCCTGCTGCAAGGACCAGGAGTGAATTGAATGCAGCATGTCCTCATTACAAACTGGAGTCAGCTTTCCTGCAGTCTTTTCTGATTCCAAAAAAGGTGGAGACCACAGGTTGAATGTGGTCTTTCTCTTGGCAGGGCTCTTCCTTTTTTTCACACAAACATTTCACATCAAAGAAAAAAAAAATATCCCATTTCTGATGGAAATATCTTGATACTTTGGGATTTCAAAAATCATTGAAGGACTGGAAGTGTGTTTGGGAACAGCATTTGGGGTTCTGCACTTGTTCTTCATGGGGCTGCAGCATGCTGGGCTGGTTTCTTCCTGGAAAAAAAAAAGAAGCTTGGAGCAGCAGATGACTTCTCTAATTATTGCTTTTCCTCTCCTCCTCCCCTTCCTGCTGCCATAGTGGTAATTCAAATAAGAGGGAGTTTGGACCTGGAGGCTGATAAGACCCTGCAGCTCTTCTGTGGCCGTATCTCCCTCTGCAGTCACCCATGTGACATGCGTGCATGCAGACGTGACTCAATCAGCTGCACTGTGCTGCCAGGAAACCAAACCCTGAGATACATGGTTGTGGTTTTGTTTTTCACCCAGAAAGCCAAGGGCTGGAGACAGATGAATTTCTAGCTGTGAATTTCCACTGGTGGGGCATGTGCTTTGGAAACCTGTGGTCACAGAATCTCTGCTGGCTGGAACTCTGGTGGGAACAGGAACAAGAAAGCACTTACCAGGTAGATCCCTCACTCAGGAGGTCACATTTACATGAACTGATGAAGCATCCTTTGGACTCCAGCCCTTGCTCAAATATCCTGTGAGGAAGTGCTTGTAGATCCTTACTCTCCCAGGGACATTGTCCTGCACCCATGAGCATGTAGCACTCTTGAGGAGGCGGCAAGCAGCCTTGCTGGATCTAGCTCTGGTCAGGTCTTTTTGGAAGGCAGGGATCAGGCTCCTTGTCATTGTCAGGATGCAGCTGAGCTGGCCTTGCACAGAGTCAAGGGGAGCTTGCCTAAGCTTAGTGCTCCCCAGGCTCTGGATTATCCTCAACCTGTTGCTGTAGGAATGAGGACATGAGTTTAGATGATCTGCAAGGTCTTTGATGGATTTGTTCTTCTGAAAGACGAAATTCAAGCCTAAATCCATAGGCAGAGATGTACAAATTTTTAACAACAAAGCTAAAGTTCTTCCTTTCCTTCTGTCTCCCAGCTGTAGTAAGAGAAATTCAGTCTGGAAACTCTAGGAATCTGATGGACACCTGTAGCTCTCCTCTGTGGTCACAGCTCCCTCTGCAGTCAACTCAGCTACACCAGGAATGCCAGACTGAAGTTTTTCCACAAATCCTGTGTTGTAAACCAGACAAGATATTCTAAATCCTCACAAAAATTCGGAGGAGAGTACCAGCTAGGCTGTGAACCACAGCTCAACAAAGTCAACAGAGGAGCCTCCAACTCACTTGGGCCCATGCACCAAGCAAAGATGAGGCTGAGAAGGTCAAAGTCTGTAGAGGCATCCTGGCACATCTTCCCAAGAGCAGGGTCAGTGCCAGGGTTATATAGAGGACATGAGAAGAGATGCAGGAAGCAGGATCACCCACTGAGTAGGGCTGCAGGACTGTCCTAAAGTCTCCCCCTTGTCAGACTTCTTGGTGTTGTGATCAAACCAGAAGCTACCAAGAGAATAATGTCTGTTTCCAGGTGGGAACCACAGCCCGGACACCTCACCCCACCACCAAGGGTTTAGCCCCAACACAGTAACTGTGCTCAAACCTTGCCTTGTTTAAAAAGCACACAAACAAACAAGAAACCCCACAGATGCTGCAAGGAAGAGAAAGAAGTACAAACGCCTTCTCTGCATTGCATTGTCTTGTCTGAAATGACTGCAACAGCTTTGACCTGCAGCTTCTTGTCTAGGCACTCCACCGTGGGTTGAGTACAGGACTGTACCTGATCTGCTGTCTCACCTGAGTGACCTCCTGTGCTGCAAGATAGCAGCACAAGGAGCCACAGGAGCCCAGTGCTGCTGATGGGGCTGTTTTGACACCACCATCGGGTAGAAGCAGGGAGTGGAAAAGAGCTGAGGATCACTGTTTTGCACTGGGGTATTCAATGACGCACCCACTGCCAGAATTTCCGAGCAGCAGAAAGAATTCAACATAGCCCCTGAACATGTTTTTGCTCTGATTTAATCTATATTTCAAAAAGATAGATTCTGAAAGGAAAAGAATCTTTCAGAAAGCAAGGAAAAATAATGTGAAAGGCAAGAGGATCATTTCAGTGCACACCACTCCACCTTGCCACCAGCGCATCCTGAGGAGCAGCCAACCACCCCCTTGACCTAACAGCACCAAGACACCTTTTCCCAGACCTGCCAGACCCAAAGGACTCCCTTTCTTCGCACAGTCTTGAATTGGTTGTGCAAGGCCAACAGAAGGCTGGTTTGCTGGCCCAGTAGTTCCCAACCCTGTCAGCCACACACTTCACTTGTACCAGCACTGCTTGGTAAGATATCATGCTACACCAGGTGATGTTTGAAGAACCCTACAAGTGATCATGTTCCAGCCCATCAGTCTCACTTTTTTATGTGAGTGGTTGCTGCTTCACCTTCATATACTCCCTCACACTGTTGTTCTGCTGTACCAGTATTGCACTCTTCATCAGCTGTGCTAATGACTTCACAGAATCATCAAAGTTGGAAAACCTTGAAGATCACCTAGTCCAACCATTAACCCAACACTGGCAGTTCCCAACTACACCAGAATGTTGACCTGAATCTTAAACCCCTCCCGGGATGGGGACTCCACCACCTCCCTGGGCAGCCCATTCCAATGCCCAACAGCCCCTTCTGGAAAGAAATGCTTCCTAATATCCAGTCTAAACCTTCCCTGGTGCAACTTGAGGCCATTCCCTCTTGTCCTATCGCTTGTTACTTGGTTAAAGAGACTCATCCCCAGCTCTCTGCACCCTCCTGTCAGGGAGCTGTAGAGGGCGATGAGGTCTCCCCTCAGTTTTTGTAGTGAGGGGCCCAAAACTGAACACAGGAATCGAGGGGCGGCCTCACCAGTGCCGAGCACAGGGCTCAGATCCCTTCCCTGTCCCTGCTGGCCACGCTACTGCTGACACAAGCCAGGATGACATTGGCCTTCTTGGCCACCTGGGCACACTGCTGGCTCCTGTTGAGCCGGTTGTCAATCACCCCCCAGGTCCCTCTCTGACTGGCAGCTCTCCAGCCACTCCTCCCCAAGCCTGTAGCGCTGCTGGGGGTTGTTGTGGCCCAAGGGCAGCCCCTGGCATTTGCCCTTATTGAAACTCCCCCAGTTGGGCTCAGCCCATGGCTCCAGCCTGTCCAGGTCTCTCTGCAGAGCCTCCCCACCCTCGAGCAGATCAACGCTCCCACCCAGCTGGGTGTCACCTGCAAACTGACTGAGGGTGCCCTCGATCCCCTCGTTCAGATCAGCAATAAAGATGTTAAACAGGAGTGGCCCCAACACCGAGCCCTGGGGGACACCACTCGTGACCGGCCGCCAACTGGATTTAACTCCGTTCACCACAACTCTCTGGGCCCAGCCATCCAGTTTTTTACCCAGCAAAGCGTGTGCCCATCCGAACCACGAGCAGCCAGTTTCACCAGGAGAATGCTGTGGGAAATGGTGTCAAAGGCCTTGCTACAGTCAAGGTAAACAACATCCACAGCCTTTCCCTCATCCAATAAGCAGGTCACTCTGTCATAGAAGGAGATCAGGTTTGTCAAGCAGGACCTGCCTTTCATAAACCCCTGCTGACTCTTTTTTTTTTTTTTTTTTGCATAGAAAAGGGAGTTGGAAATGTTAAAAAACATACCCTTGCATAAATTCTTGCATAAAATCTTATGTTACTTGCCATCATTCTAAAGGTACGTCATGTGAGAAACTTCTAAAAGACAAGAATTAAAACATCAAGAAAATCAAGATGCTCTTTCAAGACCTTAATCTTTGATTGTCTAAGATAACCACAGCAAATCTCTGTTTTTCTAGGTTAGGTTTTCTTTGTTGTACATTAGCTGTTCAACCTCAGTGCAATTATTTTGTATTAGCATAAAATGATTTTGCTATGCAGCATTTGGCTAAAATACCAATACAGAGGTCAAGAAAGCACACATAATTCTGCCTGCCAAGGCAGGGTCTGCACTCTGATCAGAGAAGCTCATCCTCAGGCACTTGTTTTCCGTTCTGCTCTTCAGAGGTTGTTCTACAGGTTAATTCTTTCCCCTTGCACCAGACGTGCTCGGAAGTTCCAAATATCCTTCAAAACAAAAATGAGACAAAAATAAGGAAAAGCCTTAGGGCCAGCAAAAATGGTGACCAAGATTCCAGTTTACAGAGATGGAAATAGATACAGCATTCTCAGCTTAGCTACCTACCCATAAAAACATACCAAAACACTTACTGAATATTCTCTCAAATCCTAAATATCAGTAACAAAAATACAACGCAGACTAAGGAAGAGGTGCAACCTCCACCCCCAGAAGACAGGTTGTTTGCAGGTGTTACACAGATGGCAAGATGACTATGGTTCAATTCTGGAAGGCAGCAGAAGAGGAAACATGAGCAGCACAGAGAATATTACCCTTACAGAAGTCAGCCTCGCCTTGCTTGTGCACACAATGCCTCCCTTGTACACCTCTGATCAGAAAAGCTCACCAACTGACTACACCTTGCATACTGCTGCCCGTGAGCAAGTGGTGGTTTTGTGCAGCAGAAACCAGCAGGAAATAACAGATATGAATGCAAGCCCTTAAGCAGAAATCAGGTGCTGGTTCTGGGCAGGCATTGCTGCAGACTGTAAAGCAGAGAAGACCACCACTGTTTGCTTCATGGAGGTAAGTCTTGGGCAAGCTCTGACAGTTTCCCTGTGTGAGGATTACTTAGTTCTTATCATTAGTCTTGTGAAGGTGATATAAGAGCTGGACACTCCTCTGGGAGGAAGATCCAACTCTGGTTAAAAAAGCTTAAAGCTACATGAAAACACACAGACTCATCTGAGGCTTGTATGGGCACGACCTCATTTTCACTCACAAGAACGACAGAGCCTTACTACCCATCACTTTGGATTTCACTGCGTACCTAAATAACTCCAGGTATCAAGTCAAGCAAGCTGTAACTTTACAGATAGCATGTAAGATCAGGCTTGCAAAACACATCTGGACACCCTACCACACCCAGGGAAAAACAAAACAAAAAACCCAAAATAAAAACCCCAAAGGTGAAGAAGGAAGTCCTCTTCTCCAGAATGCCCTAGATATTGTAATATCTGTAAAATATGTACATTTTAAAAGAAAATTACTGCCTATTACATCTAGACTTTACTGCCTTGACACTGGTTGTGCACATGTGTGGGAACTTCTGCAGATTAAGAAATTCAGAATATTTCCATACCAGTAACAAGGTTTATTTTTCTTTCAGTGGCTGAATCCCTGAAGAATTTAGACTTGCTTTCTATTTTACACAATGGTTTCAGTTATTCAGCAAGAGTCCATTACCCTCCTCGGGTTTTTTTGGTTTTGTTTTTTTTTTTGAGGCAGATGTATATTGCTGCTGACATACCTGCTGTAGCCTTCAAACAATTGATATGGGATTATATTTAACCAAAACAATTCAGTCTACTGTTGCAGTAAGAGGTGTCTACTTGTTTTAAAAGGAAAATCCACCTGTCATTAGGATCTGAAACTGTAAGAACTGTGGACAGGCACTGAATTTATTGCACCTTCCTATACTTGTGAATTCAGGGCAAGAGATAACCACGTCTCCGTATTTACATCGTGCAGTCCAAATATAACTGCAAAGAGCTCTGGTTCAGACACACTCCAACAACAAACCACGAACCAGGAGATGCAGTGAAGGGCAAAACTTGCATAGACATTACCCTATTGCTGCCTGCCCTCTCCACTGCTACCCAGACTAGACCCCCTCGAATGGTGTAAGGGTGCACATGAGCAGCCTCCGAGCCGAGCTGTCATGACAGCAGAGTCTGCGGTTCCTCCTCACTTATGCTACAACATCAGTCACAGTTGCATAGTGAAGTGCTGATCTAATCTGCAGCAAACTCAGCCAGAACTGGAAGGGATCAATATGTGCTCACAAAACCCATTCTGACAAGCAGATCTAGAGGAGAGACTTGTGGAGCTCAAGGGATGTGAAGGGGCTGCCCAGAAAGCAAGGCCACTTCTCCAGCATAGCAAGAAGCAGCTTTATGAGCAAAAAGCCCCCCAAAAAGCCTGCCAGTCATCCTCTGAACATCAGGTCTTTTGTTCTGCCAAGCACCTCTGCTTAGCACAGCTTGATCTGCCAAACTGAGCATAGCAAAAAGCACAAATCTGTCACAGGAGAGACACTTAGAAAAGGGAACTGACCTGGATTGGAACAAAAAGCATATAGCCAAGTCTTACCCTGAGTTCCACAGAATTCATGTCGTATTTCTTGCAAGCCACTTCTACTATCTCTTTCTCTAGGTGCTCTTGAGTCGTGTTCTTGACATCGATGTAGTAGCACTCTGAGCTGGCGAAGTGACAGCTTATACTCTGTGTGGGGAAATTGGGCATCACTCACGATCACATCGATTACAAAGGACTGGTGGAAAAAAAATCTCATGCATCCCTGATGGTGAACACACTACCCCTTACAGACTGTGTCAGCAAATTCCGTCCTCCTTTCTGAGGACTCCTGCTCTCCGGAGAGTGTCTTCTTGGAGAAATACTCTTGCTTCCTAACATGCTCTTCTTCCTTCCCTTCTCTCTCAAACACTTTCCCAGCATAAACTATACTACTTGATCTCAGAATACCAGCAACTAGAGTGGGAATAAGGAATGTTAGGGTTGGAGCAGACTTGTGTGTTAAGTAAGGGCTCTTACTTTCTGCACCCAGTCAGTCACATCATCAACCCACTTATTTTATATAATCAGTTCTTGCTTAAGCAGAGTCTAGAGGAAATAAACAGAAATGCCCCACCAGATAAAGCTGTTCTCTCATTACATGAGCTACGCCAGCTGCAAGTGAGATCATGCCAGATCTCAAAGGGTGATGGACCATAACCTGGTCCAGAGAGCTCCAGGATATTCACTGATTTACCCCAAGGGCAGACAAATGTTGGGATCTGGCACAGTATGAGGAAGCTCTTGTGTTTCTGTGGAATACTAAACAGGACAACTGCTCCACTAGCCAGGAAAGAGCCAGCATATGAGACTCCCAGTACCTGCTGTCCTCTCTGCTTTCAGGATTGCAGGAGGAAGAATTCCACACCAGTAAACTGCTACAGGGGCTGAAAGAATGGGCCATATAGTTGTTGATGCAGGCAAACCAAAATAAAAATAGAGCAGCCTGTGTTGCAGTGCATGAGGGGGAATAACTGCATTGCTACTAGTGGCTACACTAGAGGCTACAGTTCCTTTAAGTGCCTGGATGAATCCACTTTGGAGGAAAGGTCAGGCCTCCAAAGGAGGGCACTTTTGCCTGTTTCACTTAAATAATCATGATGCAAAATAAACAGACAATGCATAATCAAATCTTTAATAGAAAAATGAGTTGTGTTATCATATAAATAAATACTATTTATTGGATGATGGAGGCTCCTGCTATCCAGAGATGAGATACTAAAAAGGCAGGGGGAAGAAAGTTAGAGAAGCTCCTGATATTTGGGACAGCTGAAAGAGAACTATCAGAAAAGCAAGTACAGCCAGCCAGGCTTCACACATAGATTCAGTTTTAATTTCTACTCCTGCTCTGTTTTTCTCAAGCAGCCCCACCGCATGCTCTTCTCCCAGAGATGTTTAAAAAAAAAAAAAAAAAAAATTAAAAGAGAGTGCAAAAGTATAGTAGGAAGTTAAAAACTCATTTAAAAAGTTCAACCAAATATTCACGAGCTTGGAAAGGGAGGAGATAGTTAGATCAGTTTTAAAAAATTAAAAATATCAAAAGCTATATCAAGAGATGGTTTCCTACCTTTCGAAAACCCGATGTCTTGTTTATCCCAGAGCCATGGATAAGCAGGGGATGGAAGAACACTGTGTCTCCCTTCTCCATGACAAGGTGAACCCTGGGACTCTTCTCATCCTCATCAAGCAGCCCATGGAAAAGTTTGTTGGTTTTATACTAGAAAAAAATGCTGAGTTATAATCATCTGGTTAACATTAGAACAAGTGCCGATTCTCAGTGCAGGGGACAGCAGGGGCAGCTACTGACCTGCTTTCCTCTGGGCAGCGTATTCGGTATGCCCAGCCTGACCATACATATATATCTCTCATATATACATGACCATATATCCCTATGCCTGACCACTGGGCTACAAGTCTTCCTACTTCAAGTCTGAGGTACAGCAAGATACTACTTTTTCTAATTTCTAAAGCTGGATTCAGACAATTTAAAATATTTCTTGGCTGGAGAGAACAGAGAAGAGCACTGGAGAATCCTACAAATTTGGCCTGATACCACCACTGGCATCCAGCCTCCTGCTCCCAGTAAAACCATCACCAACACCAGGCCAGGTCAGGAAACATCCATTCTTAAGAGGAAGATACCACCTGGTGTTTAATTGTATCCAGTTGTTGACTATCCAATTTCTCCTCTTCGGGACAGTACACACGCTCACCAGACAGGAACAAATTCACAGGAAAAAGTCCTCAGACTTGGAAAGGGCAGTGGAAAATGGTTGCATGTGTTTATGTTGTTATGCCGCAACGTGATGGACAATTTCTAGGTGAAGGTGTGCACAGAGGCAATTCTACCCAGGCTACGTGAAGCGAGGCCAACCAAGCAACTCACTCCCAGAGCAACAAGTCTGTCTGCATAAGCAGAAAAGACACTGCTGAACATTCCTCCATGGTGAGCTCTTCCCAGACAAAATGTGGCCCCCCTCACACACACCCTTCCCAACCCCCCTGGTGCCACTCTACCTCCCACTTTGGGTAGGCATGAGGCTTCAGAGGCTGCTCGTGTGTCCCCGGCTGCACAACCAGGCAGCCGTTGTCCAGGTCGGCCCTCTCCATGGCAGTCCAGGAGCACACGATGCGGTCCGCAGGCCGGAAGGGGAAATAGTGCAAGTCCTGATGCATGGGGTGGAGAAAAGTCTGTTGATCTGCAACACAGGTTCAAAACCTTCAACCTCATCAAATATGACACAGCTTTTACCTTCCTGTTAAACCACTGCACTTGTTGACACATGTCCTAAGAAGCTGCTGCTTGTCACTGGAGAGACTCTGTGTACTCAGTGTCTGCTCCAGCCCACCCCTGCTTGGAAGCCAAGTGTGTTAGCTTACACCCCACCCCAAGATGGACCAAGAGTGCAGTGGTGGCTCTTGGGACAGCAATGGCACAGGGACACAGTGAATGCCAGGAGGCTGCCTGGCTGTGTGATCCCTGGGAAGACCCCTTTTGCTGACCTTCACCACCACCAAAACCCTGCTAAGTTTTCACCATTCACTTTAGCTGCTCTCCAGTTTTCTGAGGTTTAACCAGCACAGAGGTTTGGTGTTGCACAAACCTTTCGCAATACAAAGGCTTTCAAACAGCCATGCTCTCTGTAATCACTTGATCTATCACTGTGTTCAAGCAGAACCAACTCTGACTGTCCTGCACCCAACACGTGTTTATTTAGCATTCTTTTAAAAAAAAATAAAAATCAATCTATCTCAACTTATAGAATGCAGCCTCCCCAGACAGTCTAGTCAGCACTCTATTAGCCTTCACCCTAGGGGCTTTTTTCCATGAAGTCTAAACAAAAATAAATATTTCTGAGGTGTCGTTTGTTACTTCTTCTCCCACTGTGGAAATGGAAACACATCATCCACACCAAAACAACCTTTTATATATTATTTACATATTTATTTTGCCATTGAGTTTGCTCCTCAGATACAGTTAGGATGTTTCCACTTGCCTCATTTGCCAAATTATTTTGACTTTGGGCAGCCTCAAAAGCTCTCGAGATCTGCACCTCTCCTAAAGTAGTCCTCAAAGATACTGAATGGAGACCTTGCAAACATGAAGCAGCTTCCCATTTCTTGTCAGTTATTGTTTTGGTTTTGTTTTAAAAATGTATGGTCTCCTGTTGAATTTCCAAACCAAAATGACAGCTTTCTGTGGACATGAACAAATTCAGTATTTTAATAATTCAATATACTGTCTATCTGCTCGGAAGCTGCCTATCTGAGAATAAGAAACATATCTCAGGTCTCAACTTTGCTAAACAGAAACAGCTTATGCAGAGTCAAAGCTACAGTGAAAAACTGTAATATGGTTAGTCCTGATCTCTCCCTCTCTCCCTGCCCATCACTCTTGTATAAATTGTGATCACAATTTCTAGCAGTCAGGCTTCAAAATCCTTCTTTTGGCACCTATTCAAGTATTTTCATATCAAAGTGCTGAGCATGCAGCAACTGTCAGTGAGGTCTGGACATATAAACTCCAAGCAAAGGATGAGCTCTGTATTTATTGCCTTTCACCGAGGTCCACAGAAGCTCTTGTTTTCAACACAGTTGAAAAATCAAGATTAAGAAGCATGACAGGTTTTAAATCCTGGACCTTTATGCAGGTGCAGCTGGCTGAATAGGGAGCTCACTTGCCCACTTTGAACATCGGAGTGGTAGAGCCAAGACAACCACCATCTTTAGCAAACAAACACCCCTTGAACATTGAAAGGCAGGAAATCTCATTAAGCCAAGGTAAAAAGAAAACAAACTATTACCGAGTGGCCTCAAATTTTCAAAGTTATTTGGTTTTAATTTGTGTCATTTTTTTCAAACAGTTTTTCTAAAACACTAAGTTAAATTTTGGCCTGATAGACAGCACACACACACACAACAATCTCTCTATTCTCCTCTTATCCAAGTTTTACTTACCCGAATCTGGAAGTTTATTTATCAGCATGGTGTGCATTGCCATGATGTTTGGCCCTGTGAAGCACTCAACATATTTGAGGACCTACAGGGAAGAAAACAATAGAAAAAAATATTAGAAACATTAAATACGGGAGGAAAGATTGCTGAGGAAGCACCGGGACCTGGATGTTTGGCTGAGGACTAGGGTACAGGAGGAATAGATCAGGATGGAAGGATGCAGGACAGGAGGCAGGACCTGGCATGGCACACGAATGGGCATGGTGGTGGGAGGCCAAAATGGAAGATGGTGCAGCAGGTTGCCGGGTGGGGATGAAAAGATGGGGTGGGTAATACTTCCACAAAACTACGGCTGTCTGCCACAACACGAATATTAGCTACAAAGCTGGACCTGCCCAGAGAGCAGATGCTTTGCCTAGATAAAAGGCATTCATATAGATACATTCATATAGGCTCTTCCACCACTGTCCCCCTTTTCGTTGTTCTTTGTTTATTTGTTTGTTTTATTTTATTTTACCTCCGGCAGAGTACAGTATCTGAACAACTCTTCATCTTCCTGGAAGTCCTGGATTTTATTGACTACTTTTTCAGACTGACCATACTGGGATCTCAGGGACTCGTCTTTCATAATCATAGCTCCTGGTAGATTCACCTCTTTTTTACAGATTCTCACAAACTCCTTCCTGCAAAGCAGTGGGAAGGTCCATGCTGGGAGAGTCCAGCTTCGCAGAGCTCCCTCAGGCTGCTGCTGCACACAGGACTCCCCAGCACCTTTGGCAAGTGCCCCGTACCTGAAGCGCTCAATGTCTTCGTCCGAAACAAGCTTCTTAATGAGCAGATACCCATTGTCTTCGTAGAACTGCCTTTGTTCTGTGGTGAGGACATTGTTGTCCAGGGTATAGCTGAGACACAGAAGAGAAACACGTTAATAGGGCTGGGCAGAAGAACAAGACCTGGCAGGAAGAAGGTGACATGTGAGGGATCCGTGGTTGCTGGGGACAACTGGTGAGAGACCCTCCCCTCTTGCATGTCCACCTCAGCTCTGCAGGCATGCAGCGTTTCCCACACCCCAGCAGAGCTGGCATTGTGTGTCTGCGGCCCTTCAGCATCTCTGCCCACAGCCACCCACTACTTCTGTGACAGAATTCAGAGCATCCCCCTCATGCCCTTCCAAAGGGGAGAAGCTGAGATCGATTCTCAGCAGTTTTACTCTCAACAGAAATACCGAAGCACAAGGGAATAGACTCTGCAGTCAGATTATCCACTCAGACATTTTCCAAGATGCATGGTTAAGATTTTTCGTTAAACGACAGTTAAACAAATGACAACATACCCTTGAAAAAATTAAAGACTACACAATGCCTAGTGATCAACACATGTGCTAGAGTGGAAAAAAGAATTGAGTTCTGCAGGTTATTTTTTTTAAATCTCTACAAAGGAAGATACAGCTCACCGAAACTTCCCTGGGTGATGAACAGCAGTAACTTGTGCTGAAGTAGGAACACTTGTCTGGGATAGAAATTAAGGAATATAAACTCAAGAACAATAGAATGGAACATCTATATACATGTGTCCCGAATCCTACAATGTGGTTCATCTTAAACGTAAGTGCTGTGCTGGACATTCAATTCATGTTCTTGTTTATTTTGCTTCTAAAAAGTTCCTTCCCACCTTCGGAGTATCACGTCTGGCAGAGAAGTATAAAATAACAGCATAGTACAGCCTTGCCTATGCATGTAGAAAAGCCAGTACAAAATGCCTGAGACTCCAGAGTAGTCCACCGGCCTTGATTCATCTCCCAGACATCAAGATACTCAATGAGATGCTCAGTGGAGATGTTTACTTACCCAATTTCGCTCCCTATGCTCCAGAGAGCAGTCAGTCCTACTCAAAACCTGCGTTATCTCCTGAAGGTGCTGCTCCACCTCTCCCCTCCTAACACAGGCACACCAAATTCAGAGCCAGAATTCATATGGGCTGAACCTGGGACATTCACATTTCCATGAGATGGTGCAAACCCTCACCTTCTCACCTGCAGAGCAAGTCCCTCCCAAACTTGATAGAGCACAATGAGAGGAGAGCAATAGGCTTGTTCTCCACCTCAATTCATTTCAACAGGTTTAAATAAACACAGTTTTGTTCTTCTACAGCAGAGGCATTCTCATGACAAAGCAATTAAACCCCACTTGCTAATGAAGCCTCACAAAAGGATTGTGCATGGTATTGAAGAGGGGCAAGGACAAAAAAAGAGCATTTTCATGCAGAGTTCAGGGAACAACAGAATCATCTAGGTTGGAAAAGACCTTGAAGATCACCTAGTCGAATCATTAAAGTTCATTAGAATTCTGGTCCTGCACGTGAATGTTTGGAGACTCCCGTGCTTCAGGGTTTTATGTAAACAAAACACTTTTCTCTACTGCTCACCACTGCCTTATAAATATACCATAAAAGCATGCATGCTTCTGGAATAAGAAATAGGTTTCATCACAACAGTTGTGTCTACAGCCCCTACACCAGGAAGCTTAAACATTAGTTTGTCGTCACATATGACAGGAGAAGAAACATAATACATGCAAAAATTTGTAGCAAAAATTATGCGCCAGAGGGAAGAAATGGTGCTGAGAACTGGATAGAGAGAGGGAAGGAAGAGGATACAGGGAGACCAGGTGAAAACAACCACAGCAGGTCCCAGAGCAGGGGATTCCCCAGCTGAGGGCACTACTGCTCCATACACTACATTTCAGGTCCCAATTTCGGTGAAAATGGGACTCCTGGCCAATTCAGGCTCCTACATGTCCACAGACAGCTGATGGAGACACAGGCACTGGTTGAACCCCAGCTGTGGTTCTCTCCTCAGCACAGCTCCACCTCCCAGAAGCTGGGGAGAGCAGACAAGTCCACCAAGCACTGGACTCCATTTGAACACCTTCCTCCCAGGCTTTGCGGTGCCTCTTCCTTTCACTGGTTTTGCTCTTGCCACCTTGTAGTGCTCAAAGGACAAGTTTGAGTTGCTCAGACAACTGAAAACAAGAGGCACAGAGGCTGGGAAGGAGCTGCCACCTCTGGCAGCTCATTTTGGTGAAGACAGAGTATTTAAACATTTCCCTTCCCCTCACACACCCCCTTTTGGGAATAATGTATTCACAGGCATGTTAGCCAAACAGGCACTGTAATACCTGGGACCACTCAGAAGCAAGTAACACTTTTAGAGAGATCAAAGCACAGGCACAGCAAGGTTCAAGATCTCTAGAAGCTTTTCCAAAGCATCTCCCTGCCGTATCAAGGGATGGTGCAAACTCCTGCATAGCTAAGACAAGCACAGTAAACTTGGGTAGCTCTCTTAGAAACCATCTCACAGACACCTAGTGAGATGGTCCTGGTCTGACAGCCACCGCTCTGCTGGCAGCATCAGGGTTTGACCTGAAGCTGCCAAACACCCAAATCACTCAAGATGTCGTTGCTTTCTGAATCTCCCATTTTCCTGCATTTTGAGGAAATCACTTCCACAGTTAGTGTGCTGTTTTTTTTTCCAATGCCCCAAACCAGGCAGCACCCAAGCTGAATTCACAGCTGTAGGAATGGACATCTTCCACAGGCACTTCTGGAGGTGGCTTCTTCTCAGCTGCTCTCCTGCAAGGAGGTGAGTGCTGGTGTTACTGATGCAGCACTTCCCTCCGGCTCCTACACCGAGCTTCAAAGAAAAATCCACCGTATTTCACCTTTCACTGCTTCCTCCCCTTCCTGAAGCCACATGAGAGGATTCTGAAGGCAGAGTTTTTCCAGTTATGCAGAAATAACTCATATTCCAATATACCACTAAAACCAGCACACACCAATCTCTAATATACCAATCCCTAAAAGCAACTACAGGAGGAAACTGGGTATGTATGAGACAGTATTAAACTATTACACATATTTAATTTTAAATAGAGAAAATCAGGATGCTCTCTTTTCTAGGCTGGGGAGGTTGGAGCCTGGATGAGCTGGCAGAAGGCAGCTAACCCCTGCTGCAGGGCTCACAAAGCAGAAAGAGTTGGGTGCACACACTCGCACCCCAGCAGGGCAGTGCAGAGACCCGACGGGCTTGGGGCAGTTTTCAAATTTTGTGTCTCTGGTGCTGACTGGTATTGCTATCAAGTTATTTCTCTTTTCATAAATGGAGAGGCATTTTCTGGGAGAAAAAGTGACTATCCTACCCAAATCACCAAAGCCAGAGTTTAAAACAAAATCAGCGTACTGATGTAACATATATCAAATAAATCTATTTTATTAGTTTCTGTCATTTACTCTATCCACAGGCCTTTCCTGTTCCGACCCAGATTAGTCATATTTTTGTCCAAAGCTCTTTGCATCAGTAGCTGAATTTAAAAACAAAACAGCTTGTGCAGTGCCTCTCTTTACTTTCTTTTTACAACCAGGTTGCTTTTCCTGGCATTTATTTCCCATTTTGTGTTATTACGTGCATCTTTGTCCTATGGCAGTCTGAGTCAACTACTATCCATCTGTCTTCATATTTTTAATACATTTGAAGACTCCTACATCCTGTTTGACCACATCCTCTTCAGCAATTTATTATAATTCAGAGGTAACTTGCCAGCATTCAGCTCTCACCAAGTACTGGCAGCATTTAAAAAGTTGTTTGTTTTTTTTTAAAGCAAGATTTATGGTAGCAGCTTTAAAAATAGTATCAGCAAGCAGTCTTCACTTAATTTTTGGAAACATGGGACAGACCAACATGAAAACTTCTTTCTGCCCTGGTTTCCTTTCTCTGATCTATCATAAAGCTGGCAGCCTCCAACATTTCCACCTTATTTCCTACTGGCAAAGCAAACCTTGATGTTTTTCCTGCTGCTGGTCTACCAGCCAAGTCTGTACCTCTCAACAAAGTTTGAGACTTGTTGTGCAATTGCTAATCCTTGCAGTTTATCTCCCCCAAACCCAAGAATCTCTAGGAGGAAAATTCTCTGCAGGTAACCCCCCTGCTCAGTGCTGGGGGAGATATGTCATGGGGGCTCCTGAGAGGCGGATTGCTCCTCAGATGCACATCCCAGCACCCGACAGGTTGCAGGGCTGAAGCTCAGGGAGAAAGCACCAGGTGGCAAAAGGTTTTTGGGGCGAGACAGTCGCTGACCCCAAAACACCAGTTGGGGCTGCCAGGGGAAGCGCTGCCCGGGTGTATCCCCACAGGGCACGGCCCCCCTGCACGTCACCACTCCATAACCAGGGCACAGGGCAGGGACCTTGCCTGCGTGTCCTTCTCGGGCAGAGCGTTCTTGTAGGGCAAAGCACCGCCAGACCCCTCCTCGGTGCCCATGAACACGCAGGCACATGGGGTGTGATGGGCAAAGCTTGCTGGGGCAGAGGAAGCAGAGCCCTGGCCCCAAGGGGGCCGACATCCCACTGCCCCCCACCCCAATCCCACATCAGAAAGGATACAAGAGCAGGGGCCGCTCCCAGGCACGGGGAGAGGTGTCGGAGGATGGCGTCCAGCCGAGCTGCCGGCCCCGACCGCTTCCCCAGCTGCTCCATCATGCCTGGGCAGCCGGAGCGCTCCGTTCCCAGCCTGACCCTACAAACACGGCCCGGGAGGCGCAGGGCCCCGCCGTCCTCTGCAGCCTTTGCCTCAGCCGCACATGCGCCGGCAGCCGTGCATGCTCAGAAAGGCCGCAGAAGCGCGGCGGGAGCCAAGGGTTGGCAGGGCTGCAGATGGGAGGGCCTGGAACGACGCGAGGAAAGCTCAGCGCATGCTTTTGCACGTTCCTCCCCCGCCCTCCCCATATTTTTCCCCTTCTCTGCCAGCAGTTACTGAGCTGGAAGGATTTCATCATCCCTGTGCAAAGAGCAAGGCTTGGCCGCTCTCAGGCACGGACCTCGGCTGAGGCCGGTACGGGTATTTTCTTTATCTCCTGTCTCTAAGAGAGACTGTCATAGCTTGCCTCATCCCTTCATGAATCAGTTCGGAGAAATTTTTATGGCCCCGCTGTCACTCCAGAGTGGATTCAGAGGGTGTTTCCCAAGTACCTCATTTGCACTGACAGAGATCTGAGGATATCTTCCAACTGCATCAAATCTGCACCTGAGGCAGGGTATTGTGCTGGGTGGCCTTTCTGTCCAGCCTTCTGGGACAGCTCTGGTGATTTTGTGGAAGAAAAGAAGGGAAGGAGCAAAAAGAGTCCCAGTGCAGCACCTGGGGGTGGGAGAGGTGGTAGAGGGGTAGGGGGGAAAGCCCAGAGTGGAAAACTTGGGGTAGGAAGAGGAGGATGAAGCATAAAAAAAGAGCAGCTGCAAACAGAGGTTGCAAAAAATGTGTAGAGGCTTAGTATTCGTCTGAAACTGGGATATGTGTAAAAGTAGCATATTTGATATATACTGTCAGCACACTCACCTGCCTTAACACCGTGAGTGCATCGTGACACATTTGAGGTGAAGAATACCAAGGAACTGAAAACAGCCCCATAACTAAGACCTGCAGGAAAGTTGAGAAGACAATTTTCATCGTCTTTGCCATGTCCCCACTGCCACTGCGCTGTAGAGCCTCACTACCTCTGCAAAGTGGACTTCAGGTCCCCCGTGTCACAGCTTGGACTAGCTCGTGCCGTTGGTGTGACAGTCAGTTCATTCTTCAAGCCCCACACCGTGAAGCAGATGCTGCTGTGAGGTGGGGTGTCTCCCGCTGGAATTTGCTGTTCTTCATCTTACCCCTTTTCCTGGGTGAAAGGGATTGATTCATCTCTCACCAGGACAAAGCAGGGAGTTGGGGACAGAAGTAAAACCTCTGAGGAGGATGAAGGTGGGATGAAGGAAGCATGCTGCCGGCTCCAGGCCCAGCCTTGCAGGCTGCTCTCCCACCTACTCTTCTCAGGAGATGGAGAAGTTGGGGATCTGGATGAGAAAGCCAGGAGAGCAGAGGGGAGCGGTAAACTGAGGGCAGCAAACCCAGTAACAAATACACTGCAATAACACAAGCCGGAGAGCAGGACTGGAAGGAAACTGTGCTAAGAATTTACATTATTTTGCCAACCCAACATATGCAAATCTTCACACCTGCCAGTTTGTTCATAAACCTTCCCTGGCAAGCAATCCAGCCAGCCCTGCTCACAAAAAAGGACCATCAAGAGTAAGTCCCCTGTTGCTCCAGGCAGTCTCATGATGATAGGGTGTGCACCAAAACTCCACACTGAAGCCACTTTAGGAAGCTTAACTCCACTTTGAAATAGGTTTTGCTGGAATGAGGTGACATTTATGGATCCTCACCTGTCACTATACTGAGCTTCTCGTTAGTGCTACAGATAAACAGATGCCACTGCATGAATAGGCAGTGCTTCCAAACTTAACCCATATCTTAAAAGCTGATTCCCTTTAAAACTCAGTGGCAAAACTCCCAGTGATTTAAGTACCAGAGCAGGTTTACATACGCCATCTGTGGCAGCTGCTGGGACTGGGGTGCATTCCTGTTTCTGGCTCTCATGGTCAGTGGTTCCACGTATGCTCAGCAGAGTCACTCCCTTTGGGGGCTATGACAAAACATGGGCTGTTCACAAAAGTGGGACAAACAAAGTTAGGAAGCCAGAATAAAAGTAACTCAAAATTATTTTGTGTAGTCACAGAGGCAAGCATACAGACACTATGAAGGGACAACGAGCAGCAGCAGCAACAGCACCCAGCCCTTCAATGCCAACAAAAATCAGACCTTTGACTCCTTAGCTACAGGAAAACTCTTAGTCATAGGTAAACAGAAAGTTAGTGAAAGTCCCTCAAATCAAATTCAAGTGAGGGGTAAGGGAAAGCAAAAAAAAAAAAAAAAAAGGCAACTAGAGCAACAGTTTTATTACTGAAGTCCTAATTATTACTGCACTGAAAGGTCTATCTATAATTCAGATATATGCTGCAATTGCCTTCATAATCCAAACTGAAACAGGAACTTAATAAATCTTCAGCTGTTTCAAAATTCAGGTGGGAGTTCAATTGCAAAGATAAAGCAGAACAATATTAAACGCATCAATTCCAACATGGACCTGTTTGCTATGCGGATATTTCTTCCCGGTATGTGTTTGACAGCATTTTGTCCAAAGGTGTCTTTCATATCTGAAAAAAATAATCAAAAATTTGTTAGCGATTTTGCTATACTCATTTAGGAGTTTGAGAACTAAGATGCTTTTATACATACATAACAGATGCTTACATACGTACATATATGTAGTTTTAAACAAGAGCAGCTTCAAAAAACTAATCTCTCTATGCGTTGAATAGAATTATTTCTTTTTACTTACTGCTTTTCTGATAATCTTCGTAACACTGCCTGTAATACCCAGTAATACTGGTTTGTGCAGTAATTCCCATGTTGCTGGACCAGCCTGTTATATTACATCCCAAAATGACTGAGGCTACCTCATCCACCTTGGCACGGAGGAGCGGGTGGTTGAGATGATGGCCCTTTATTTGTACCCTCACGCTAATACAGTCCACGATCAAACTTTAAAACAACAGAAGATTGATCTGAGGCATTGCTGACACCACTCCAGGCTGTGGGGCTGAGAACCATGCAGTGACATCAATGGCACAATGGATGGTTGGGAACACATACAAAAAAACCTGTCCTTCGCATCTTAATCTGATTTTTATTTAAAAACAAAACAAACCAAACCCCAAACAGTCCAGAGTGAAGAATTTTCAAATCTGTTGATAAGTTTCACTAAAGTACAGACTGAATCCCATGAACCTAGCAGAAGGAGGGAGAGATTTTATTCCTTAAGAAAATGATGGTGGCATTCATCTTTTTAATAAAAATAATGGCATTTAAGAGGGGCTGTGTCTTTGCAAAGTATTTTTACAGCCATATCTGTCAGTTTCCTGAACTTTATAGAGCATTTTTATACATCTGTTTTGCATTTGGCTTTTAGTTTTAATGTTTTCTGTTCAAAATCACAAAACTAATAAAAACTAAACGATCAAGATTTCTCCAGCAGTACAAGAAAGGTCCTAATGCACAGTTATAATTTAATAAGCATCTCAATTGACTATTAAAATCCACATTATGATCAGAACTGTAATTCCAAAGATGAGGTCTTCTGAAAGCTTAATTTACTGTGGTGGGAAGTGACAGCTGCTCCAACTCAGCAAAATTAGCTTTTTTAACTTAGATGCCAGAGAAAACAGATGTAGATGAGACAAAAACAAGAACAGAAACAAAATCCACCACCAACGCGCAGGTTCATTTCTCATCACCAGAACATTCAAGAAGGGCTTCTACGGCTACATTAGCAGCAGAATGGAGGCAAATGAAAATGTGGACCCAATGGAGAACAAAACCGGGGGACAGTGACAAAGGAAAAGGTCAAGGGTCTCAATGACTTTTCTGCCTTGGGCTTTGCTGGCACAGTCTGTTCTCAGCTTCCCTGTGCTGAGCAGTGAGGTCTGGGGCTGCAGAGCATCACCCACACTGCAGAAGACTGAACTGGAGACCACTGGAGCACATTGGTCATTTTCAAGTCCATGGGACTGTGTGGGATTTACCTGTAGGAGCCAACATGCCTGCATAGCTGCTCTCTCTCCTGGTGCCAGGAGAGGCTCCTGATGACTGGAAGGTGGCAAATTCTGTACCTGACTTCACTAAGGACAAGAAAAAGCATGAGGGGACCTCAGTCTCCAAAATTATGGAGTAAGCCCTCCTGGATTTGCTGTGTCCACATACACCAAGGACAAGATGACTGGGAACAGGCAGGACAGATTTATCAAAGGCAAACTGGGCCTGGCCAACCTCCTCACCTTGTGATGGAATGGCTCTGCAGACCAGGGTAGGGCAACGTGCACTGCACCTTGACCTTAGGAAGGCTTTTGTCATCTTGGGACACGCGGACTGTAACGTGGGTGGAAAATGGGCTGAACTGCCCGGCTCAAAGGGCTGTGATCAGCACGGTGAAGTGCAGTTGGTTACCGATGGCATCCTGCAGCATTCAGGAGCAGAACTGATGCTGGTGTATCTCCATGTTCCTGCCCTGGTCAGGAAGCTGGCCGGTGGCACCAAGCAGGGGAGGCAGTCCCGACCGCTGGAGAGCAGGGCTGCTGCTCACAGGGACCTCGGCAGGTAGGGTGGCAGGAACCCCTGGCACCTCAGCAGAGTCAGAGTGCCACACCTGCACAGAACAACCCTGTGCTGCTGGACAAGCTGGGTCCTGCCTGCCTGCAAAGCTGCTTTTCAGGAAAGGACTCGATGAACGAATTGAATATGAGCAAGCAGTGCGTGCTTGCAATGAAAAGGGCTGACCCTGTGCTGGGTCAAAAAGTGCTCCTAGACATTGTGTCTAGTTTTGGGATCCTCAGCACAGACACTGACATCCTGGAGTGAGTTCAGTGGAGAGCCACTAAAACGAAGGGGCTGAAGCACATGATGCACAAGGAAAGGCTGAGAAAATAGCTCAGCTTGAAAAGAAGGCTCCAGGGAGATCCTACAGCTGTCTGCAAGTACCTAACGGGGGGAGATAGAGAAGACAGCCAAAATTTTGCTGTAAACTTTCAGGAGATAACAGGCACAAACTGCAGCAAGACAAAATCCTGTTGGATATAGAGAAAATTCTGCAGAATGGCGATCACCAAACACTGAAACAGGGAGTGCAGAAAGACTGAAATTTCTGTCCTTGAAGATATTCAAAACCTGACTGCACACAGGGCTGAGCAACCTAATGTGACCTCAAGGTTGTCTCTGCTTTGGGCCAGGAGACTGCAAGACATCTGTCCCAACACAAATTATTCTGCAAGTGCAGCTATGGTGGTAGGAACATCCCCAACTGGCCTACTACAATAAGGAATGTGCATCTGAACACAAATCTATTTCACCTTAGAAATACCAGGACCATTTTTCTGTTGTATTTCCTCCTCTCTGAAGGTTGGAGATGGGGGGGTAAGAGCTTTTTTATGCCCTAAAAAAAACCCCCAAAAAACCCCAAACAAAAAAAACCTCAGAAAATACATCAACATTGCAAGCAAAAGCAGAAAACAGCACTGGTTGGAATATCAGCATTAGCTTAGATATGTCTTGGGTGACAGAAGGAAAGCTGTAGGTGTCATGGTCTGGAGATGGGGCAGGCAATGAGGTACATAGCTGGAATCAGAGCCTGGAACAGCAAAGCTTGTGCTGAAGTGGTGAACCTAAACTGCCGCTGCTGGAATCAGAGCAAGCCAGGTTAAAGCTAGTTTAGACACACTTGGAAGAAATCTTTCATGTGGAGGGCACATGGTGTGTCCAGAGACAAGCTGAGCAGGTTGCCTTCCACAGAAGGCCTGTCTCTAGTTCCTGGCTTCTGACAAATTTCAAGCTTTGGGCAACCCCTACCCACCTACTGAGGCACTGCAGCCTGGCTTTTTGCCATGAGAAATGGTCTCGAGGCTACAGCTGTCCCTAACTTCTGAGCCATGGGTGCCCACCCGCTCCTAAAGACACAGATGCCTTCAGAAGTACCAGAGACAGCTGGATCCATCACAGTCAGCAATGAGCACTAAGAGCTTAAAAAACCTCAAGGTCTTCCTTCATGGCTGGCTCCTGCAATGCCAGCCAACCTCAGCAGTTTGAGAGCCAGTACATAGAAGTCTCCTTCACAGAGCCATTGCTATTGTTGAGGTCCTACAGGTCCCCAAAGGGATCCCCTTCCCACCCAGCCTGGGAAAAACGCCTATCCAAAAGCTGAATAAGAGGATATTTTATTACCTTTCCCCTCTCCAAGCACCAGCCACAGAGGTTGCCAAATCATATCTTGTGGTCAGCATGCAGATGTACACCCAGAAGGTGACTCTTCCACTCTTCCCAACTGTTAGCCAGACATTCAGTGAGGGAAGAAAAAAAAAAAGAAAATATATCAGTAAACCACTACGTATTGGCCACCTTGCCCATCCATTCCCCCCACACTCAGGTTTGCTGCCCTCTCACTGCAGTGCTCACAGTAATTTTTGTCATCTCTCCTAAGCTCCTAAGTAGAAAAGGGTCAGTCCTGATTTTCTAGCAAAACATGTAATCCAAACAATACCTTAAAAAAAGACAAAACTATTCTGACTTTATATACAGCCACAGATAATTTTAAGTGTTATTTTTCCTTGATGCAGGGAGAAAAGCAAAAGGCTGAGGAAACCAATATTTAAAAGATTCATAACAGATACCAGTGTTTCCAGAATATATGCTACTAAACAAACTGATTAGGCTAGTGAATATTCCAATTATTAAAGTCTTTATTTGTAATCACTCTTCTCACGGCTTCGATGGAGTTTTACAAGCAGCCTCTCATACGGATGGAAGTTGCCGCAATGCAGAGGTACCTGTGTACACAAACACAGTACACTTGTATAAATGACAGGACATAGCTATTAAAACCAACTGTCTGCTGTTGCTTTCTCATAGTTTTTTTGATGCTAGCATCTCAAAAAAATCTGATTAAAAGGAGATCGTTAGGTGCAGGATTTAGGACTTGCTAGCCCAGTACAATATACCCTACTACAGCTCATGCGTCATCTAGTATCTCTTATTTAGCAAAACAAATGGCAAGGCACCATTCTCAGCTGATCAGGTGAAGCTAACAGAAGACTTCCCAACTCCATAATCACCCACTCAACGGCACATTTCAGCCGCCCAAGCCAGGATGCAAATTCCAGCCATCAGGAAACCATCAGGAGAGACTTCCACCGTCAGCTCACCCGGGAGGGGTTGTGCTCGCAGCCCGTTCAGCAGCTGCAAATGGAAGTTTTCCTCCCGGAGTTCAGACGAAAACGGTTCTTGCATGAAAGGCTGGTGCGATGGGTCTCCCGTTTCCACTCACCTTGCTAGCTGCTAAGCAGCCTTCCTCCGAACACCCTTCCCCTTGAAGAGGAACCTTCTACCGTTCAAGGCACGTCCATGGAAGGAGAGGTGTTGGTTTCACACCTGGCTGATGAACTAACCAACATAAGTGAAAAAACCCACAGCATCTACCTTCCGCACATCGAGCGCCGGTTTAAAAGGTGACAGATCTTTCTAACAGGTACTTTCACACAGCAGTGCTCAACTGCTTTGCATGCATTTGGTCTAGTTTACGTGTTTTTTAAAACTGATAAAATAACCTATGTAATGACAGTCTCGTCATGATCATAAAGAAAATAAACAAACCAGCTCCACGGGTTTGAATCAGGATACAGAACAAACTTGACAAAACGGCAGAAAATAAGAAATTTAATCAATTTTTTGCATATTTTTTTTTTATCCTTTATTTTCAGAAGTGCTGTAGAAAACCTACCTTTTTTTTTTTTTCCTCCCCAAAGCAAAGTCAAAAACTCAGTTACTGCTTTAAGGTTTTGTGGTGAACATGCAACTTGCAGACTTCTCCAAGAAAAGGAACATGAGGTTCTGTGGTTTGAGGGGAGAAATTCTAGCTTTGCAAAAGGTGTCCGAGAACATTGCTGAGTAGAAAAAAGATAAGCCAAGTTTTGTTGTGCCAGAATCTTCATTAGGAGCAAAACTGGAAATTTATACCTTGCATGATGCACAAGACTGGTTCATCTCTAGTGACTCATTTTTCATAGACAGAAGCCCTTGTCATTCGTGCTGGTAGCAGTAACGATTATCCAAGATTTTCTTATTCCTGGTCTGAATATCAAGGAGCAAATTCCACAATCTGGAAAAAGCTTAAAAAGAGCAGGTTCGGTGAAGCTCGCTCAGTCCCCTTCAGCAGAAGAACCGCACGGTGTCTCGGCAGCAGGTAGCAGCGAGCCCACTGCAGGCGGGCAGCAGTTTACCGTGCCACCGGGGAAGAGATGGGCTTCCACATCCATTGCACTCACCGGGCTGCTCACCAACCCTCACCTAGCTTAGACCAGGCACAGCCTGGAGGACTTACAGAGGAAACAATTCAAAACTGTTGCATACTTTGCACTGATAAGTAAAATAAACAAAATAAAGTGGATAATATACTTGGAGATAACCTTATTGCCCCCAACTTCGGCATGCAGGCAGAGATAGTCTAGATTACCACTGGACATCACAGCTTGCAGAATTGATCAAAGGAATAGTAACGACTATCAACATAATTACACTGGCAATAAAATAAAAAACGAGGATTTCTCCTCTTTCCAGTTTGTAGTTCAGCTGGGAATCAAAAAAGTTCATGCACTTATACAAGAGCAATAAAAAAAAATTAAATATTTATTTTGAATAACAAGCTTAAGTTCAAGCTGCAATGTTGGCAATGTAGATTTTAAACACAGATCACAAAAGCGTGCAGAAAAATGTATCTGAGCAAAGAACAAAATAATACTAAGAATTATACTAAACAGCTGCTGATTTTAAAGAAACAAAAAAGGCTTGTAATCACTATACAAAATATAAAATGTATTAAACACTACCATCCACAGAACAGAGGTTTATTTTAGTTTGATTATATTTAAAAATTATTTGTGTAGTTATTTATATAGTGAATTGTAAATGAATATTATACAGTAACCTCCTTTTGGTCTGCAAAACCTTTGTTGCACTATAGCACATCCAATCACATTTCAAAAAAAGAATTATTTTTCCTTACTATCAATAAAGAAAACAATCATTGATAATACAGTAAATATCGTCAGGTCTACAAATAATGAAATTAAAAATGACTCCTTCGACTCTGAAGCGCTTTCCATGCAAAGTCAGCACTTGCTCGTTTAAACAGAGTGCACTATCAAGCAATGTCCAGGGTCGTTGATGCTCTTGGTAAGACTAAACCTTACAAAACAAACAAAAAAAAAAATTCAAAGATTGAATGTAATCATGCAACCCTCTTACTACTAGGTATTCCCACTGTGTCGCTTATCAATTTATTGCCTTCCTGTAATATCACTCAAGGCATCAAAATTAGACTTATGATAAATATACATATAATGAAAGGACACAAACTGCTATTCGACACTACTACTGGTAATGTCTGTGCTACGTGAAAGCACCTTTAAAAAGAGCCTATGCGGCAAGAGATAAGTGTCTAAAGATTCAAAATGAATCAACAGTATTGGATAACAATATAATTCTCAACTCAGAAGCTGCCTCAAGATTAGGTGCATCTTCAGTTAATGTAACAGGAAAAAAAGGCAATGGATTTTATTTTATTAATTGTATCCACTCATAAACTGACCTAAGGCCGCCAGATGTGCAGACACAACAAGTTTTCTTTTCTTTTTACAGTTCTTTAAATTGTAGGATGATAAAGGAATAGATCTATTTAAAAACAAACAGCTATTTCATCTAAATATTAAGAGGTGGCACCAGGCGTTGGGTTCACGTTCTGAGTGGCCACCTGTGGTGCAACTTCAATGATTCGTGGTTTGTCTATAATTCTGGCCGTGCGGTTGCCCTTCTCTACAATGCCAATAATCCATGCTTGGTGACCTTCGCCGTATTTTGGAGACTTGATCTCGGCACAGAAACGTGCTGCCTGTTCTCGTGGTAAACAGATGAGGAGGCCTCCTGCAGAGAGGGGAAAAAAAAACAAAACCAAAAAAAGCAGAGCATTAAAACGTCTGATTGCAAAGAATTTCAGCTTTGATCTGCCAAATCCCTACTTAGACAAGCACTTGGTGACTTCAGTGGGTTCTGTCGAACTCCAAGGACTCCATGAGAAAACATGGTGGAAGTCTGAGTTCTTGCTTTACCGAAATAAATTTGTGCCTGAATTCTGTTTTTAGTGGGTATGTCAATGAAGCCAAATACACACAAAAGATGCTGGCAAAAGGACATCAATACCGATGCCAACAAATGACATACTGAAACACCACCAGCAGTTTAAACTTCCAACAGGACTGCAGAGTACCTCTACATGGAAACATTCTGGATAAGAGTCATATTCAGATACCTATAACGACATATGGGTGGCAGCTGATACTACAAGTAATCCCATTTGCAGTGAAATCATTCAAAGTAGGGACTATACCAGAAAATGCAAAAGATTAAATATAGGCTTGCTCCAGTGCTCCCTGTGTCAGTCCTTTCTATCCCTCTGAGAATTTTCTAACCTTTTCTTATCATGAAATGTTTTGGTGCTACCCAGTGTTACTAGAGAATTCAGCTTTTCTATATCCCTTACCTTTTTTACATGAATGCTATGTTGCAAATGTCTGAAGCACTGCCAACACAGAGCAGCAAACTCATCTGCAGATGCCTCATTAAACTCAAAGCTCTGTACACTACATGCAGTTTGCGTAGCTCACATCTGTAGGTGCTGTATTCTGACACAGCGGCCTCTTGCAAGGCATGTTAAAATATCTCCTGTTGTCTTGTCATCCAGGGCGAAGGGCATCAGTCAGCAGCACAAGTCGTGCCACCAGCTCTGAGCCAACCCTGGGGGTGAAGGGCCACCTGCTGAGCCACCTCCTCCTCTGCAACCCCTGAACAGCTTCTTAGGCACCTTTATGTTTGCTTTTCCAAAAAAACAGTCCTTGCAGCTGTGACTAAAGACACTTGAAGGCTGTGATGAAGAAGCAGCTACTGAACATAAAGAATTATTTATAAGGCTATGTGGAAGTGTCAAAGTTATTTTTTAGGTTCTGTATGAAGCAAATGACTGTGCCATCCAGAAAAACACCTACCTCTCTCAGACATTTCAAAACATAACAGCCAGGCACTTCCATCAAAAACAACAAAAAAAACAACCCAGAAGCTTGAAAGACAGTGTTTAAGCTTCTCCAAATGTAACAGAGAAATCAATTGCAAAGGAATTATGTGCCATGCCCATGGAAGGCTCTAAATCAAATTGAAGAGAAACTTATGTCATGGTGCGAGAGAGTCAGGGAAGAAGCTTACAAGTGGTAGTGCACAGAACACACCAACTAGCTGGGATTAGATGGTGAAAAAAGGAAGAAAGAAAAAGCACAGGAATCATCTCCACTGAATTACCTCTTCTCCACACTTTCTGCAATTTTTATCACTTGCACGCATACCCTGGAAACACTCTTTTGCAAGATTAGAAAAATGTACAAAATCCCAGTTTCCAGTCAAAAAAAATCACTTCACACCTGCTGGTTGCATCCCACAGTTTGCTCAATAACCCTTAATAGAGGCTATAGGCTACTCTTGATCAGTAGTAGGATTTCTATCTGCAGGGATTATAATTATTTCTCTGGTAGACTGACCAGTCTCTTTAACACTTTGGTTAAGTCCTTAAGGTTTTCCACTACGTTATTCAGTGTTACTGGCCTTCCCAGCTGCTCCGTTTTTTGTCCCATGGACAACTACAAGAAGTCTTCACCTATGCAAAGTCACGGCCACCAGCTGTTTAAGCTATTGCAACACGCCTATAGAAAATGAAGCAGCAGTGCCCCTCTGCACTGAGGCAAGCAGCATGTCATGGTGTCCCAGGCTTTTGAGGTCCGTGTCAGTCACCACTTAAGACAAAGCAAATGGGCTGCAGACAGAATGAATCAATGGCCATAGTGGTTTAAGAGCTCACAGCATGCTTCTTTTGGGGCTTCAAAAGACGCAAATAATTTGGTATCTGTCTTGGCTTACCTTTCTAAAAATCGATGGGTATTTTTGGTAGCAGGTTTTGAACAGTGTTGGTTTTAACTGTTCTAGAGCAAGCAGAGAACTAGACAGAAGACTTCAAAAACAGACTAGACAAAGCTTTGCAATTAAGAGCAGAGATACAAACAGTTCATGACTCGAGTCCTTGCTCCTGGCTAACGGCTTTCCCCACAATGACTAACAAAAAAATTAACACACCAGCCTTGCCTCTTGTCAGGCAGTAACACAGCCCTTCTTTTCTATCCATCTATTTCCACAAAATTTGCACAAACACCACATTGTTAAGATACTTCCACTACACTAAAAAAGTTGGCCCACACCCATCAACAGTTTATTAGGGGTGGCAAAAATACACACATGCATGAATATCCCACGTAGAGTAACTTTGTAACTTATTTCTGCAGATAATCAAATAAACAGAATTAAGTTTTTTTGAAACTAAGTGCCCAACTGCAACTTTAACCTTTACCAAAGTTATCTAAAAGAGAGTGCAAAAATCACGTAAAATGCAATTTTAAGAAAATACACCATAAGCGGGAGTGCCTGGAGGATGGAACAGATGACATAACAGATCTTTCCAACACTGACTTTTGTCAACAGGTGCCCAACAAATGTGCACTGGAAAAAAACCAAGTCTTAAAATCTACTCAAATTGTTTTCCAGTAAATTTCTCATTGCCTGCCCACTCTGCTGAAAAACATCTGTTCACAAATGAAGAAGCTACAGAGCATTCCTGGAAGCTTAAAACAAGAGTATTGCAGTATGAACTGCCCTGAACAGCCCCCCAAAAGGCATCCTCACAAGTGGATGTGGAGGAGCAGCAAGGCAGATGCTTTGCCTTCCTATAAATCAACCCCAGGACATGAAGTGTGCGAACAGCCTGGGTGTGAATGCTAACGAGCCATCCCAGCACACCCTGCCCAAGCTAATACACACTGCTGCAGTGTGTCATCCCGTAAGCCTAAAGCCTAGGGGACTGCAGTTACAGTTTTCAGACCAGAGCTATTGTGTCCGCGTGGCTATGGATCTTTCTAATACTTGGCAGACACTGCCCTGCAACAAATCCCAACAGCCACCCCTAATGCAAGAAATGCAATGCTCTAATGAAATCAAATGTACATGTACATGTTTCGAGGCACCCAAAGTTCACAAATAACCAGATATGTCTTGTTGTTTTTTCCATCATCATCATCACTGTTGAAACATAAGCTGTTCAGGGTTTCAAAGATACCTCTTCCCCTTGGTCCCAAAAGAGATTCTTAAGTCAACCGTTTTCCACTCCCAAGCACTCTCACAGCAGCACGTACATCCGCACTGTTTTACATTCCTTCAGTGAAAAGACGGAACTGGATATCCCCAGGGTGCAGGATGGGCAGTTCTGAAGACTCAAACAGTTTGTAGCTAAACCATTCCCATGTCAACTGCTATCCAAACCTCTGCTACAGCCACTCACCTGAAAGAGCATCTTGCAGTTCCAGCACTGTGTCCACACTATTTTTTGAACTCTTTGCAACTCATAACAAATGCTACTAGCATTCTGGTTATGTGGACTTCTGGGTAGTGAGAATCTGGTCTGGTGTTACCAGCCTTATTGACACAGCTTGCCAAACTGCCACCAGATATTTCTGGTCTCTGCGGACTGACGCTGGACTTGAACTCTTGAAAGGGTTCATGTATCATATCCTATTACACATCATCTGAGCCATACAGTCTCTGTAGGACAGAGCGTCTGTTTAAACACAGATGGCTAAGGAACAATTCAGCAGATCATGGTAAGTTGTGTATTCACTAGGGGAAAGGTTTACAACTCTCACTGTGATGCTTCTTTCCAGATCTTTGGACTGTTTTGCTTCAAGGGGCCCCCTCTGTTGTGGGCTGCAGAGAACTTGGATAATACTTTTGGAGAGCAGGAAGAGGGTGGGGAAATGAGATAAGAGAAAAGACAGATTTGTTGCTACATCTTCCCCATTTCCCAAAGAGAAATAAAGGTCCGATTAAAGAAAAGAATCAAAATGGAACAGGATAGAAGATTCAGGGATAAACGAAGTCTAGAGACTCCAGCAGAAGACAGTGATCATGCTAGTCAGCAAAGTGCCCTATGCTTAATAGGGCAACTTCAAAAACATCAGTTGTTCTTATGACCTGATGACTGTGTAAATGTTTGTCCACAGCCCAATTCTCAGTACGTCTGTTGTATTCATTGTCACTGCAAGTGGCAGCTTTATTAAATAGAGAACTCAAGTAATGAATGGATCAGAAACAAAATTCCTTTTTATTTTTTTTCTGCTAGTCACAGTCCCTTAAAGTCAGATTTCACGAACATGAGAGAGAAAAATCTGTATGGTTGGAAGTCTGTATACTGTGCACAGAGAAGGCCTCAGTCGCCAAGAGTGGCCCATTCAGCGCTAAACTTTACACATATTCATAAAGAGAAACGAAACACCACTCATTTGACTGGCAAACATCCTGCAGGTGGCTTTACCTTTGAGAAAAGTGTGTTAGCTGTGCTGGGATTTTCAGATATTCACTGTTCTGGAGTTAACAGCTGAGAGAAGAAGGTTTCAAAAGAATTCACAGCCCTCATTAACTTCTAACTGCAAATGTTCTAGATACACCAAGTTGTAATAGTGTTTCATAAGGACACAGAAGGTATTCAGAATAGCATGGTAGTTTCACAGAATCATTGAGGTTGGAAAAGACCTTGAAGATCACCCAGTCCAACCATTAACCTAACACTGACAGTTCCCAACTACACCAGATCCCTCAGCGCTATGTCGACCCGACTCAAACCCCTCCAGGGATGGGGACTCCACCACCTCCCTGGGCAGCCCATTCCAACACCCAACAGCCCCTTCTGGAAAGAAATGCTTCCTAATATCCAGTCTAAACCTTCCCTGGTGCAACTTGAGGCCATTCCCTCTTGTCCTATCGCTTATTACTTGGTTAAAGAGATTCATCTCCAGCTCTCTGCACCCTCCTGTCAGGGAGCTGTAGAGGGCGATGAGGTCTCCCCTCAGCCTCCTCTTCTCCAGACTAAACCCCCCCAGTTCCCTCAGCCGCTCCCTGTACGACCTGTGCTCCAGACCCTGCACCAGCTCCGTTCCCTTCTCTGGACACGCTCGAGTCATTAAATGGCCTTTTTGTAGTGAGGGGCCCAAAACTGAACACAGGAATCGAGGGGCGGCCTCACCAGTGCCGAGCACAGGGCTCAGATCCCTTCCCTGTCCCTGCTGGCCACACTATTGCTGACACAAGCCAGGATGCCATTGGCCTTCTTGGCCACCTGGGCACACTGCTGGCTCCTGTTCAGCCGGCTGTCAATCAATAGCCCCAGGTGCCTCTCTGACTGGCAGCTCTCCAGCCACTCCTCCCCAAGCCTGTAGCGCTGCTGGGGGTTGTTGTGGCCCAAGGGCAGCCCCCGGCATTTGCCCTTATTGAAACTCCCCCAGTTGGGCTCAGCCCATGGCTCCAGCCTGTCCAGGTCTCTCTGCAGAGCCTCCCCACCCTCGAGCAGATCAACACTCCCACCCAGCTGGGTGTCACCTGCAAACTGACTGAGGGTGCCCTCGATCCCCTCGTCCAGATCAATAAAGATGTTAAACAGGAGTGGCCCCAAAACCACGCCCTGGGGGACACCACTCGTGACCGGCCACCAACTGGATTTAACTCTGTTCACCACAACTCCTTGGGCCTGGCCATCCATTTTTTTACTCAGCAAAGCATGTGCCCATCTGAACCACAAGCAGCCAGTTTCGCCAGGAGAATGCTGTGGGAAACAGTGTCAAAGGCCTTGCTAAAGTCAAGGTAAACAACATCCACAACCTTTCCCTCATCCAATAAGCAGGTCACCCTGCTGTAGAAGGAGATTAGGTTTGTCAAGCAGGACCTGCCTTTCATAAACCCCTGCTGACTGGGCCTGAGCATCTGGTTGTCCCGCACATGTTGTGTGATGGCACTCAGGATGAGCTGCTCCATCAGCTTCCCGGGCACCGAAGCCAAGCTGACAGGCCTGTAATTTCCTGGATCATCTTTCTGACTCCTCTTATAGATGGGCAACACACTGGCCAGTTTCCAATCAGTTGGGACCTCCCTTATCAGCCAGGACTGCTGGGAAATGATGGAAAGCGGCTTGGTGAGCACCCCAGCCAGCTCCTTCAGCACCCTCGGGTGTATCCCATCCAGTCCCATAGACTTGTGTGTGTCTATGTGATGCAGCAGGTCACTGACTGTCTCCTGGAATGCAGGGTGGTCGTTCTCCCAGTCTCTGTCTTCTGGCTGAAGAGGCTCGATTCCCTCAGTACAACTAGTCTTGTTATTAGAGACTGAGGCAAAGAAGGCATTAAGCACCTCAGCCTTTTCCTCATCACGTGTTACCATGTTTCCTCCTGCATCTATGAGGGGACAGAGGTGCTCTCTGGTCCCTCTTTTGCTGCTCACATACTTAGAGAAACATTTCTTGTTGTCCTTGATTGCTGAAGCCAGATTAATTTCTAGCTGGGCTTTAGACCTCCTGATTTCCACCCTGCATAGCCTCACAGCATCTCTGTAATCACCGTGAGTGGCTAGCCCCTTCTTCCAAAGGCTGTAAACTCTCCTTTTCTCCCCGAGTTGCAGCCAAAGCTCCCTCTTTAGCCGGGATGGTCTTGTCTGACACCGGCTTCTCTTAACAGCACCTCGGGACTGCCTGCTCCTGAGCCATTAAGACTTCCTTCTTGAAGTTTGGAAGTTAGGCTGAATAAGGTAATTGTGAACAGTTGTGTGGCTAATGCTCATTAGCTTGGCTATAGGCCAAACCAATCGCTATTCTGAATGAAAAGCACATAATTTGTACATTTGAAATATTACATTCTAACATGGAGGTGTAGGGAAGAAAGAAGGTGGTAAAACTGTCACCTACCTGAAGTCTCTGGACAAGTCCCATGCATGAGGCCAAACATATTGCCACAAGCCTTACTGACAGCAGCCATTTTAGCAAGAACAGGAAGGTTATGAATAACAAAGGACACCTCATTTCGCTGCTGCTTGGCAAGGTTTTGTGCATGCCCCAGGATTCCAAAGCCTGTGATGTCTGTAGCTGCGTGTGCATTGAAAGTGTGCATGAGTCCAGCAGCTACAAGAGATGGAGGGGAAAAAAAAAAAAAAAATCAAATCAGAAAAAAAATTATAAGGAAAAGTAATGCTTCAGCAATATTGTGCACAGTTTGACTGAAGTTGCATACCTCTAATTTGAATCAGGTTGGGTTACTTTCTAAATAAATAAAATTTTAAGAAATCGTGCTTGGAGGGAACTGGCGTTCACCAATATTGCATGTAACCCTTAAAAAATTCAGCTTGTATTTAAGGTATTAAATCATGCTGAAAATCCAGCACCAAAGTTATATGTATGAGCATGATCTATTAGACGTGTGCTATTAATTTATATTAGCAGTCTAAGAAACACGGGTTTGCTCCAGCTTCAAACTTTCCAGAGTTGAGGGCCAGAGAAGTTCCGAGCTCAGCTTTGCTTCATTAAGGGCAAGGACCAGTCCTCGGTCAGTTTTCCCACATCTCTTACCCTGCCACTGCATCAAAAAAATAATCACATCAGAACTTAAGTTCTGGGCACTTAAAAGAGTTTAAGAACAAAGCCTGCAGGTTGTGGGGGCAGGGCCCCAGACTCCCCACCTATGCATTCATTAAATTCTTGGGCATTTGCAACTACAGAGCCCTGGGTGGGAGGAGGACACCCCTGCATGCAGGACAATAGCTCCAATTAAGAATATTTAAGTGTTGTTAAAGGTGCCTGACAGGAGTGAGTGGAGAAAAAACAAAACGAAGAACGATTTGCCGCCCAATACATGAGCAGGACCCGAGTTCTTTTCCATAAGACAATCCTGATCATTTATTTTTCCTGGAAGACTGTGTGAAAGAATGAAAAACCAGGGGGATGACATAACAAATACCAAATGAAAACTGAATAAATGGGAGAAGAGATATTTAACTATCCCTGTTCCTTCAACTGAGAAGTAAGGAAACACCTCATTCAATTCTCTGCTCCTCCAAAGATACTTTGAGCAAAAAAGTGAAATCCTGGATTAAATATTCTAGGGTAAAAGCAGAACCATCTCCCCATCAAAATTAAAACAAAACAAAACAAAAACCAAACCCACCCCACAAACCCACAAAAACGGGAAAGGAAACCCAAACCAGAGAAGAAAATACGTACTATGTATTCCACACTTTGGAAAGCATATAACATGACAAAATTAAAAATATAAACTGGAGAGTACAAAAATGAAGAACTTTTCCTACTTCGAATTTTTTTAACCTTCTTACAGTCAAGCCCTCACGAGTTCTCTAGGCACAGAAGATAAGAAGGAACAAATCCAATATATTTCCCTTTAAAACATCCTCTAACTCACTCAGATGTTACTTGCAGCACTCACATGAGTCATAACCATCTCCAGCAGCATTTGTGTTTTTGCTGTGTAATTAAAAGAGGGCGTTTGATTTTAATTTGCTTGCTTCACAAACACTGAACAGCAGAAAGATGGGGCAGAAGGAAGGGATAAAGCAGCTGTGTCACATTTCCCCACAGCAGTGAAATGCAATTAAGCATGGAATTTAAAAACCCACAACCTCCCCTCCATCCCCCCACCACACACATCTCTTCTTACCTGTTCTGTTCAGTCGTGCCATATTCATCATTGCTTCCTGGTATGCTAGTTCTACATCTTCTTGCGTTACCACTAGTTTGATTTTATTCCACTTTTCTGGCTAATGGATGAAATAAAAATTATTCTTTTAAATTTTCAGTTGTATATTTTTAAAGCACGCCCTTACCACTTTAAAAAAAAATCCTTAATCCAAAATGTAAATTTTTTTTTTTTATACTCAGTGAAAGACAGGCAAAAGGTTCAACAGTCAGAGAGAGGTATGTGCTTCACTCGGCTGCTCTGACTAAGTCAAGTTCATTTAAAGATCTGTTAGGCACTAAGCACCTCAAATCTTGATTGCAGCAGCAGAGCCGAATGGAATAACCTACCCTAGGGCAAAAAAACTCCTTCAAAACTCTGAGGTGAGCTCTGCAGCCAAATGAATAGAACTTTGTTGCTGGGTGTTGAGATTTGTAATCTCTAGTTTCTTGGTTTTTTAAGAGAAAATTCTTGATTTCACATCTGACACTTTGATCAAGAAAGGCCACTGATAACCACACTCCAGGTCTGAGGAATGTATGCTAAATCAGGATGTGAGTTAGGATTAAGGCAGTTTCATAAACTTCCTTTACAGTTTAATACCACCATCTGCTTCCACCCATTCTCCAGTGTCTTGGATGAACTCATGCCTCCATCATATTCTAAGCAATGTGTTTCATCCCAAAAGGGTCTCAGAACAATTTAGGAAATGGTACCTTTATAAAGGGCAATTGTTTCATTCAAAGCTGAAGTAATTCCAGATCCAGAATGAAACAAAGCAACCATTTAGCTTTTAAGAGCAACACTACAACCTGGTTTAATTTTCTTCTTTTTTTGCAATGGAAATAAAATTACTGAGAACTGAAAGTAAACAAAAATAGGATTGTTGAAACCACAATGCCTACACTGCCATTCCATTGAATAACAGCATAGCACAAACTTCTTACTAAACCAAAGGTGCAAAAACTACTAAGAATTGGTATATGATGCTGCACTGGGGAAGGATCTTGCCAAAGAGGCTCTTACCCTTAACAAATGAGTGCTGACTTCAAGGGGTGTAAGAGATTGGTATTCTGGATTAGTGTTCTGCTAACCCAGAAATGGCAAGAGGGGGAAAGACTGGTCAGCCAAAACAGACCGTTTGTTAAAGAGCAAAGAAGTATATCAGTAAGATCAGAGCTTCTGAAATTAGGTTGACCTGGGTCTGACCAATTAAGTAAGAGAAAGCAAGCAAAAAAAAAAAAAAATGAAGCTATTAGAGAGGGGACAAAAAAGTGATTATTCTTACTGCGTGTATGACTGAAAAACTTGAGCAGTCCTTCTGCCTTAGTTTTCAAAAACACAGTTCTGAGGCTGATCATGTGATGGAACCAGTCAGATGATGGGAGGGAGTGGAAGTCACAAATGAAGTGGAAGCAGAACTGCAGGCTGAGGCTAGAAGTGCCACAGACACAGGTAGGATACAAATCCCACTCCACCAGAGCAATCAGATACTGGGGTTAGCAGACAGGGAACAAAGGCAGAAAAGTTTACAAAAGTCTCCAAACAACTTTTAAAAGCAAGCTTAGATTTTCAAATGGAACTGGTCTGCAGACAACAGCAAGGGCTAGAAAACCCCTTCTGAAGGGGCACATCACAGCAACCCTTTTCATGCCTTTCAGCTGAAAAATGAAAAAGGCAAAGGGATGCCAGTTCCAGGCTGTGGACCAGCCTAATCAGTCCCCATCAGCAGCCTGGCAGTGAAGGCCACAGCAAACAGCTTCACTACCCCAGCACATCCCTGAACAGGTCCTCTGGGGCCCCAGCAGGGCCCCGCTCCCTGCAGACCCTCTGCAGTCTCTTCCTTTGCCCCCTGTGGCAGCTGCCGCCAGCAGCACAGCTGGGCCCTGGCTGCAACAATGCCAGCAGCAACCAAGCAAGGAGGACAAATTTTGCCTCCATTTGGATCTTCCTTTCACTTGTCACCAGGAATTCATTTGCTACTGCTCTGTTTACATACCTCAGGTTTTAGGTTGTTTTGCTGTTGTTTTTTATTTTTAAATTTGTTTTGCAGTCTCTACATTCCAGTTTTTCTTTCTCGCCTATGCATAAACTTGCTGTACTATGTGCCTTCTCCCATACTTTCCAATACAAAGCCAAATTCCCTACCAGAATTTGGTTTACAGGTGGATTTGTGATGGGTAGTTCTAGTTTCACTTTCCCCACTCTTTCACAAAACAAAGCTGAAGAAGAGGCAGCACAGCTACTCAGAAATTTTCTTACCGCAATCAAAGATATATGCTGTTTACATGTAATAGGAGGATTGATTTCCTTGCTGTCCTCATTTTTCAGACCAGAAAGTCTTTCTGGTTGACAGTCAAGGAAATTAGAAGTACTTGAAATATGTGGAAATTCAAAATATCCTTATTTGCAAGTCTGTTTGTCAGTACAATAGATATGTTAAGAAGTAAGATTATGGCCAGAAAACGTATTATAAAATTGGTGACTTGTTGTTTTACTTCATTTTCATACCAAGATTATCTGAGGCCCTGATCCTTCTATCTGACTGGAAAATACAGGTTTCTGCAGAGGTCAAAATTGCTAGGCCAGACTCTATGAAGGAGAAAAATATTTTTTTCTTGTTGCTCACACTTCAGACTCCAGTGAAGGTTTAAGCTGGTTCCTTCCCACTTTTGGTTACACATGCTTTGTAATTAGAATTCATCTGACAATGTAGTGGCCAAAAGCCAAGACAAAGTAGATTCCAGCTCACTCCTCTGCCAGTCTATTGGCTCAGTAGTCCCAAAAGTAGAGAAGATGCATCTTTTTAAAGTGTAAACTGAGCAGTTATAATTCTGAAGACACGTACTGGGAGCCAGACAACATAAGCAGATGCCAATTTTGCAGTCACTTTTCAGTTCAGTAGTTACATTTTTGCCTGAAGTAACAGATGGAAGTATGTCTACATACATAATGCTGCTAGAAATATTCTTATTGGATGCACAGGGTAATACATGTGAAACGTAGATATATTTCCATGTACACAAGCAGAAAGCCCATGAACACAGACAGTGATCTCGGCCTAATTGCCATCAATAAGCTTTTGCCAATTACTTTGGCAGGTGGAATAGGGCATAATTTTACCCAGGGTGCTAGTCTGTTGTTCTGTTAGTAAACAATTTTGTTTATTACAGCAATGCCTGAGAACTAACTAAGAATTAGATGCAATTAAGATGGTCTCACTAAGCACAAAATAGTAAACTGTCTCAATTCCAAAAGAGTTTTGCACATAAGCAAATAAGGCTGACACACCAAGGAGGAAGGAGGAGAGAAAGAGATGGTAGATCATTCCCAACTGAGCCCTCAACGTACTTACTACACTGCTGAACATTCTCATTCTGAGGTTTTGAGGGAATGAGGAAGGTCACCTTTAACTCACACCCCTCTACCTTATTTCTTTTTTTTTTGCAGTGTACTCACAATATCTAGCCACTGGTGGACAGCTACAGCCACTTGTGTTCCCAAGGGTTTAGTTAATACAAGCACATCTCCTGGCACTGCATTGTCTGGCCTGAAAACAAAGAATTCATATATTAATTGCATAGTCGGATTCACACACATTATCAGGAATAAGTGCTGATAATTACATTTTCACAGACCCATGTATCTTGTTGCACAGTTAAAAAACTGACTTATTGCAGAATTACCCTTTGGGGATTCATTGCCCTGGGATATTATCAAGCAAAAAACTGCAAAGTTATTTGAAAGTGCTAATCCTTTCTTGGACTATAACAATGCTTGCAGTCAGACACACACAAAATTACGTATTTTCTTTCAAATTACTGGAGACGTAAAATAGGATAGTGGAAAAAATGACCTTTGTTACTTCAGGGCGTAAGATAAGCATCACGAACAAATGCATTCATATAGTGTAACATGCCACAGTGGGACATGCAAAATCAGCTACTGATACACTGTTAAATGGACAGAATGCTGTAAACACAGTAATTCTGCAGTTCTCTACAACCAATAACAGGGTAACTGGGAGATGGTTTAAAATATATGTGTAAATATGACAGAAATTTATGTCCCAAAACAGCCTTCAGTACCTTTAAAGGTTAGAAGCTTAACTCCTGTCAAAAAGAGAACAGGATTAAAAGATACTGGGGGATGGGGAGAAGTAAAAGGACATCCTGTTTAAAAAACCAAGTATGTACAGAAGAGATGTGGCATCTGTTAAGCGCTAAGGACAAATGCAAGCAGGAGAAGGTACGGCTTTATTCATCAGCAGACAGATCACAAGATCACAAGATGGTATTTAAAGGTTTTTTTACTGTATCCCTTCAGACCAGTGCCTTTGATTGTTTAGCGATTTAACTTACATTATAAATTCATTAGGCTGACAGACTGTCGTGGCCACTCCTCCTAAAACAATCCAGGGATTTAACACTGTTTGGCCACCAGTAACAGATGTTCCTGCCTCTTCTGCTGCATCTTTGAAACCCTGGATAATTAGAGGCATCACTTTGTCTCTTTCCTAGAGATCAAAACAAAAGTCAGAGTTCCATACACAGCAGTGCTAGTCATTACAAGACTGGTCCAAGGCTTTTAATCACTCAAGCCAAATGCTCTCATGGCAAATAGTTCATGACAGAAAAGCCAGCCTTAGGAAGAGGTTAGCCTCCTGAAAACTCCACATTATCCCACAGAGCTATGGTTTTACAGCTTTTTGTAAAAGAGGTGAAGAGACACTCTCACGTTGAGGAAACATTCTTCAAAAGGTCATATAAAAGAAAAGAAATCAGAGTTCTGGAAACTCAGAGCAACTATCCTGCTGTAATCAGGTACAGCCACAGCAGTACAGTGCAGTGAGGCAAAGTTAAATCAAGATGCATTTGGCCTCCACTAACCTGCAAAGTTTCAACTTACTTCCTTCCAAGAATAAACATCCCTTTTTTGCTACAGCAAAACCAAACATGCTGGTCACTTCCACACACACACACACAAAAAAAAAAAAGAAAAAAAGAAAAAAGAAAGCAATTTATTTCAGTCTTTTCTGCTTCAGAGAGATGTTATAAAGCTGTCATAAGCAAACCAGAAGTATCTATCCAGACTGATATGTGAATTGGTAAACATACACTGCCTTGGAGCAATACTGTCCTGAATTGACAGAAGAACGGACCCCATTTTGGTGGAGGGAAGGTATTGGCAGCAGATTACAATGCCACAGAAAACTGAACTTTTAGTAAGTGACCTCAGAATGAGGCAAGACCCATACTGTGAACTGAGACATTAAAAAACCTCATCTCTTATTTAAAAGGTTCAAACTTTGAGGACAAAAATACATGAAAGGTAAATATATTCTAGGCACGTTTAGCTGTTTGAGTTTTCTTTCAAAAACAAGTACCAAAAATCTTACCCTATCTGTCATTTTATTGCTTATTCCAAGGAGCATCAACATGTTGTCGCATTCTGTGACCCCCATGGCATAAAGGTCACTTAGGACATTGGCACACGCTATCCGTCCCTGAAAAAGAAAGAAAGACAAAAAAATAATCTGCAGGACTGTTTGTGAATGTTCAAACACCTGCCATGAACAAAACTTCCAGCATGAGTTTGCACTCTGAGACAGCTGCTTATTCCACAGGCTCCTGCGTTAGGAAACTCAGCCAAAGATGTGGTGTGATCTATTTCATGCAACGTGCCCACGTAGAAGTGCGGACGTCTGTTCCCTTCACAGGTAAGAGGGGAGTCATCCCAGACATCTTGGTCAACATACTTTCCCACTGACTACATGGGAATCCCCCACTGAGTTTAGACTGGATGGATGACTAATTTCATGGGCCAAAGTTAAATTCAACAAAGTCTAAACTCAGTTTAATCTGATATGTTTCTATTAACTTTATTCTAGCACAAAACTGTACATACTGATGAAGATGACCGTCATATGTAATTCACAACTGCTAGGAAGCTCATCTGAAAAGCTGTACCTCTTCTGCACTAGAGTATGTAGGAGAAAGGGGCCTTGATAATAAAAAGCTGTTTGTTCCTCTGCACTACCCTGGAAGCCACATCTACACTCCTCTAAGTTTTCACAAAACCGGAGGATACAGTTGTGCTGCCAGCACACAGCCACGGTGGGGTGCTTCTTCTGTCAGGACATCAATAAGAAGCTGTCTGCAGAAGACAGCATGTGCCAGGGATTAAGGAGCTGGGGGCTCCCAGAAACTGGCCTTGTCACAAGTTAGGAGCGCACAGAGCCAACTGAGGGGAGATGTCTGTCCTCTGCTGCTGGTACACTGAGGGAGACTTATCTACTCTGTCACTTGTTCAAGTGACAAGAAAATGCTGAATTTTGCTACAGCACATATATTTTTATTAACTTGTGTGTGTGTGAGCATGTCCACTAACAAAAATTTGTCCAAGAGACAAAAATGGTCATCCACTAAAGACAACTAAGAAGTTGTGAAGCTGACAGGACTGAGAAGGCATCACTTTTGTCACATGACCTTAGCTACTAAATTTTACTAAATTAATGGATCAGAGTCAAGCTTTGTTGGGGTGTGGACCCAGCACATATGATACATCAAGTTTTCTGGTGAAGATGGAGAACTTTCTGATACAGGATGTGCCCTAAGAGATGGCAAGATAATTTTAAAATACAGGACAAATTCTGTTGTGTTACTCTGGAAAACACCACACATTTTATTAAAATTGTTTTAAGTTTACAGCTGCAGAACTGTAATCAACATCTGGTTTTATGATTTTAAATCTGTGCTTTTCATAAAGTTCAGAGGCAACACCACCTCAATAAAAACAACATGCTTAGCTGACACAAGTTGGACTACAGAAAGATGCTTTAGCTGGAAGATAAAATCTGGGGAGTGCAGGGGGTGGGGGGGAAAAGGTACATGTCCAAAACCTTAGTCTAATCACAAATTCAGGATTTTTGCAAAAAATTAGTATCTTCAGGCAGTTACCTCACTTGCTGATGATATGAAATAACACCTCCAAATCCCAATTAAATATAAATCAGTTTTTCATAAATTCAAGATCTTCCAGTGGCATCAGGGGAATCCCTCATAGTTGGAACTGGAATGTGTTTTAATCATTTAAATCTTAAACTATTAAGAGAAGAGAGTGATCTGTATACTGCATGCTTTGATGGATATTGGAGGTTAAATTTCTAGATGTTTAAGAACACTAAAGCCTGCCATTTTCCTTTTCTGGAAGGAGACTATCAAACCATTCTCCACTATCTTCAGTATTTACTAAGCAAACTGCTGGTTTATGCCCTCTTAGGAATGACAGATAAGTTTTTAAAACCACACCGACAACAGCTCTCTATTCTAGTAGTCAGAGGTCAGTCTAACACTGCTTTTGCCAACTGGCAAAAGCACTATGGAAACAAATTCAGGGAGTGCAAGTCTGGAGTAGCAGAGGAAACAATACATGGCTTGCAAACAGCAATGAACACAACAGGGTTCACAAACAGGGGTCAGCCTAGCTGGATCCTGCATGCTGCCCGGCTGCTTGCTTAGTTCCCCTGAAACACAAGTATCTGTGTACGATAGTAAGAACTATTTATACAGGTAAAGGATGAAGTATCAGACACCAGTCCCCATTCTTGGGTGAAGAGTCTTCTTATAAGAGCACCAAAAAGGTCCTTGGAATGGAGGGGGAAGTCCACTCTCAAACCAGCCAGTTTCCTGCTCCTGTACTCAAAACAGTGTTTCCACAGTCCCACAACAGAGGCCAGTACCAGTCCTATAATAAGGATCAAGTGGCTTGATACTTATTATGAAACCTATTTTCAATTGCTTGTAATTTTTCCAATATTTCCAATTTTTCCAACATTCCACATAAGCTGAAAAGTCCTACGCTAGATACAGATTTTACAGGTGTACATCCTAAGGATACTTTGCGCAACATGGATTGAGTGTTTTCAAGAACAAAGAGAAGGGGACAGGGGAAAAGAAGGAAGAGGGCTTTTGCATATAACTGCAGAACTTTGTTTTAAAATAGGCAGTGACAGTAAGAGAAAGCTCTTTTCTGAAGCAGAAATCTGAAGTTCAGCCGAGTCCACATGCAGTTTTGCCTCCCTCAGCCATTTTCTAATCCCTTGTGTCACAGCACCCAGCTTGGAGTACATTTGCACTTCTGGCTTTTCCTCCTTGCTTCCTCTTCCCCCAACCAGGAAGAGACACAGAGAGAGGAAGAGACTCTAAACCAGGGAACACCCACCCAAAAACCAGAACTGACTTGGTAAGGAGACAGAGCAGAAGAGCAAGAAGCAGTGTGGACTGCATGTGAATGATAATGAGAACAGAGTGGTAACAACAGGCATGGGTCAGGGGGCATCTAGACTAAAAACAGGGAAAGAAGCAGTTGGGAGAAGCAGGGCAGCAGCAGCCCGTCTGGAACAGAGAAGTCCAGAGCACACTCCTTTATACAGCCTGAACACAAAATTCCTGAGTCTCACCATTCCTCTGCTCTTAACAACCATCCATAAACCTCATCGCAAATTGTGTATGACTGTCTTCCAACTGATGCTGGTCCACACGAGAAAATGGCAACCTATATCATCACAAGGTACTCTAGTCTCCAAGAGAGAGGTCTGAGGAGCCAGCGGTTCCAACCCCACTGGATTATCACTGCAGGTATCAGCAAGACGACCAGGGATTCACTTAGCTTTTAAGAAAAAATACATATCTGTAAACAGATTATGAAGTGGCAAGCCACCACATTAAAATGAATGTTGACAAAAATGAAAAGTGAAGGGCTTGAGCGTTAGAAAACACCAAAGTTACAGCTGCTGGTACATCTGGATCACAGTATAGACTGTAGCTACGATGCAACCACTAAAGTCGGACTAAGGCCAAATTTACATTCCACTCCCACCACACTAGTCTAAAACTCATCTGGGCACAGGCTCATCTATCCACTCCTGCGGCATCTCAAACCCTTTGCATCTCCAAACAAAACAACCCTCCCCCTTCACCACAGCCTTCTCACACTGTCCCTCAAGTTTTTGTTATGAGGTGACAAAAGACTTTCTCAGCTGATGAAGACAGCTCTCCAACTACATATATATGTATTTTCTTCTCTGGTTCTTGACAAGTTGCCACATGATATTAAAGCAAACCACTTGAATCAAATTTCTCAGGAGAGCTTGACAACTCTGTACTGCAGAGGCCAGCCTGCACTCTTGGCTGCTCAGATTGCAGAAAGAGAGCTCTTCTGGAACAGAAATCAAATGCAAGCCTAGCTCCTATGTGTACAACACCTGGTCAAGCATGCTAAAAAAAAAAAAAAAAAAAAAAAAAAAAAAGTCAGCCTCAATCCTCAAAGTGTGTGTCCAAAACCTACCAGACAGGTCTCACAGAACAAACAACGAACCAACAGCAGCAAGTAAAGCATGCAGTCACAAAAACAGCAGTAAAAGCATGCCTTAAAGCAAAGGAATCACATTCAAATCCCAGGAAACATGAATTCTAGCATTTCTTAACTCTCTTAACTTTCATTTAACGAACACCTCCTGTAGAATTCCTTACAGCTTTACTAAGTCTTTTTTTTAAGTTGTTTCCCCACGACCTTTTGTTCAAGTCAATACTGATCACCACCACACATAACACCACAGAGGAATCTCTGCTAAGACAGACTAAATGAAACTGGGACACAAAAGGAAGTGAAGTCAAAGTGCACACAACTTCCATCAAGTCATTTCAACTTATCCATCTGCAACTGGAGGTAGTACAATGGGAAAACTGGTGTTCACCAAGCACTCTGAAGTTGCCAGGTGCTATTGCCAACTATTGTCGTTTAGGCATTTCTAGTTCTAACATGTTACCTGGTTATTTCAGAACCTCCAAAAAGGCCAATTACAATGCAGTTCTGCTCATAAGTGAAGTTTAGTGTCTGTTCCTTCAGACAGCTCTTTTTTTCCCCCCTTTTGGGCTTTTCAAGCCAAATCCCACAGAGCAACAGATGGAGGGAAATTTGAATTAAAGGTGGCAGTTCCCCCAACTTTCACTATAGAAAGCAGCACTGTAGCATTCCTGGACCACGTGGAAAAGATTATAGAAACTATGCCCTTCCCTCTTCATGTGTACTTAGGAAAGGCTCTGAATGCAGTTAATCGAACAATTAGCACTGCACATTTAGAAGAAATGGTCAAAATTGCCATCAGATTGGTGAGAAGCACAAATCAAACCAGCAATATAGCTAGCAATTAAGTTTAGCCAACTTACCATCATATAAGGATCATCCACAATAGGATAAATATAATCTGTCGTCTGGACCAACGACAAACCTCCATGTCTTAATGGAATAACACAAGTATCCATCCCAATTCCTGCAAAGACAGAAATCCATCTATGAGGTAAGTAACTTCACCCTTAATCATCTGTTGCTCTTAACAAGAGAACTTATAAAACATGCCTGTGAAATACAACTCACAATACTGCCTACATAGACACGGCAAATTCCTTCCTTAGAGAAAGAATAGCACAAGTAAGAGGAAAACCAGGCAAAAAAATGACGACAACTCACTGGAACAGAAATGAGGAGACTGAAAGCAAGAACTAAACTGAATGTTCTACATTTTTTTGCAGTATAATAGTAGTGCATTAAGAACATCTGTGCTTGTATGTATGTACATTTAAAGTGAAGAGGAATTACATAAATTGATATTGTCAAAAGCAAATAGGTTTTCCTGTCACTCTGATCTCAACAGAAACGTAGTGACAGTTTTAAAAGGACATAGCCTCTCATAAAGGGCATTTCCTCCCTTCAGGAGGAACAAAAAGAATGCCACAAGTCACAGCCTAGGCCCTTGAAAGATGATTCACCCACTTGGAGCTTTTGCAACTGTGTTAATCTCGCCTTACTGCTGTGAGGCTGAAAGGCAGCAAAACGACCTGCTAGACAGGGAAACTCCTTTGAGAAAACCACAACACCAAGTGCAGCCTTTTCCCTGATGGTGGATATTTCAAATAGAGTAAGTGATATTAAAACCACCCGGCATTTGCTGCGATGCAAGAGCCCACAAAAAAAACAGCAGGTGACGAATCACAAAGTGCTAGCAGAGCTCCCTGTTGATAACCTCGTGCCTTGTGGCAGTGGCAGGTAGCTTACCTCCTTCCTGGGCTGGCAGCAAGCTGCCTGGAAATACTCTGCATACCTGGCAGGGCAAGAGTCGTCAAACAGCGAGTTTTCAGGGAGCAGATGCCACACAGTAACTTTTCCCCATGTATTAATGAAACACGCTACCTAGCAAGAGCTACAAGCCAGTATTTGGCAGTGGCCTGTACAGGGATGGAGTGAGCTGCTGTCATCTGAGGTCCTACCAAGGATGCAGAGCAGCAGGTCTGCCAGGCAGTAGGTAAATAGGTAGAGAGGATCTTGCCTCTCCTGCCTACAGAGATAGAAGATCTCACCTCTGAAGAGAAGGGATACTGACAAAAGCTCATGAGAATAATTTACGGTTGCTTATCCTTTGCAGAAGCTACCAAGCCACTGTGCACGATGCCCAGTGTCTCCAGGGAAGCAGATATAAGCAGTTATAGGGAAGCAGCTCACGCACAGGAGCTGTTTTGCCCTCAGTTCACCTATTCATGCCATAATGCTGCAACACCGATTTCATTGTGTGGTTTTCCACAACTTCAGCAGAAGTGCTGCTTGACAGACAGGCCAAGAAGGGGCCACGATGCTCCTTCTGAGGCCATCTTTCTGTTCCACCAAAAAAAGGACTAAATAAGGGAATCTTTCAAGTGGGATCACGGAAAACAGTGATTTTAAGGTCCAAAACAGCTCAGAGAACTATTATCAAACTTGCAGTTTCTAACTCGTGGATAAACTCACAGCCATATTTAAGGTTGCTCTGGGTAGTACCACCCGCAGAACTAAAAAAGAGTGAGCTTGAGCCTGCTGTTGGCAATTTCCCTCTTGACTGCACCTCAAAAGCAGGCTGTAAAGTTACCTGTTTATAACCTTTTAAGCACAAGGCATCAGAGGCAAATCACACCAAACCTAGCCAAAGACACGTTTGTTAGAGGGATACTCACCAAAAAAGCGTATTTTTAAAGAGACCTGAACTCTCCACTTTCTATTACTAACAGATTCACTGTTACATGGTATCACACTACATATTGATGGCATTAGTCTACTTTTTACCTCTTCACATAGCTGGAGAAGAAAAATCTATTAACAGTTCCATTACTGTTTACAGCCTGCAAGTTTATAAGAGAAGAAAACCCCAACAGCTCAATAATTAAATCCAAACCAAACTATTACTGATTTTAGAAATTTGCCAAATCAAAATGCTGCTGTGAACAAGTTATTTAATTTAGAAAAAAAACACATATAAACAGCAATTTGGGGATAAGAGAAACTGGAAGCGTCTTTCATTAGGGAATATTATAGTGCCACCCCAGCTCCACACACAATTGCTGCTTAGATATTTCATACAAAGATTGCCATTGTTTAAACAAGAACATGGGCTCCTTACTAATCTCTCACCGAATTCAATATCTAGCAGAACAATGGGTTGCAACCTGTTAGCCTGCTAATGGGCAATTAGCAACATTAAAATTATTTTAAATAAGGTTATTGTACACTAAATTGATAATTAAGCAACTTCAGAATAAACGCTACACTGATATTCCTAAACTGAGGAAAAAAATCTGTTCTGTGCTGCCAAGTAGAGATTGAATATGCAGGGCTGAGTAAACAGACAAACAGAATTAAGTGTCATTAAACACATTATCTACATTAATTTATCTATATCAATATTAGGTAGAGTAACTGGTATCGAAATACCTACGTTCACCCTGTTCCCCATGTAGGTGGCTTGTGCAGGTTGTTTTCCCTTATTGCTTGCATCATTGTGCAAATATCAAAGAGAAAGTGAAGCTGGCAAGAACACAGAGGTCTTGGAAAGACAGCCTTTCCCAGGCAGCTTCTACAGGTGAGCAAAAAAGTTAGAGTGGGGAACAACAGAAGGACTGAAAGGAAAAACGACAACTGTGAAACAATTCGCTCCTCGTCAGCTGAAGCGAGACAGTTTTCTCTTGCTCACTTTGTCTGACCCAGAAACAGAGGGGAAGGAGGGGAGGGAGAGGGCAACTTCACCTGCAAGTCATCTAATTGCATAAAATTCCAAAGGCAATGTATTAATATAAAAGTCCAGAAATTAACTGATATGACTTCAGTTTGCAAAGCACCTACTGAGGAAAGGGAAGAGGAGACTTAACGCCTAAGCACGTGCCTATCACGGTGGCCATTCTGGAATGTTTTCCTTCGTAGTTGAGCACACTGCAGGATGCTAAGTAAAATAATATTCTTGTATCCCAGATGCCAACAAATGACAACACGAGATTAATTCTTCAAATTTCTGGATGCTGTGCATGAATGATACAACATACAATTTTCAAACCAATTAAGCAAACCGCAAAGGAGACCATGTCGCTAAGTGGACCAAACTAAACTGACGGACCACACGTGTCTAGAGGAGCAACTACTTACCCAACCTGGGCATAACTGCCCCCAGGAACTGTTCATCTTCCTGAAAATGGTTTTCTTGTAGAGATTCAAGCAGTTTCTGTAACACATCTTGTGGCACTTTGCAGCCTGTGCCTTTCAGTTCAGTGAATCGGGTCAGGCGGAAGCTCTTGTCCAGTTCATAACTTTCTGGGTTAAATGACTCCCGAACAGACATGGTTCTCTCGCACAGACTGCTGGCCTTTCCCACCCCAGAGCAACGGTATCAGTTTCTCTGCTGATCAGTCTAATATATATAAAAAAAAAAAAAAAAAAAAAAAAAAAAAAGTAAAAATCAGGAACATTAAAAATTCCTAGGACCTGCAAGACAACAGGTTTTCCAAAAGGAGCAAGTTAAAAAGAAAGAGAAAGCGCCCAATGTCGTTGTTCTCTGGTTAGGATAGGTGGGCATACCTCACAGAACTCACTTATCAGACTACTAAGGAATGATTCCTCTTCCTAACTTCCAACATTTAAAACGATAACTAAGCCAAGCGAATCAGAGAATGAATTTCTTTTCCAGATAATGCTGCACAAGTTTTTCATTACAAAAAGAATCTAACACACTTACCGACCTCATTTAACACAGAGGTAATGAAAGAAGTAATAGTTCCCAGAGCACCAAGGCCAATTTCCAAAAGGCAACCTGGGCCCTCATCCTGCAACACGCTCAGCAGAGACATCTGTTTGTACTCAGCTCAGTGCAGAGTCGTAATTTTAGACATTAACATATTAATCTCAAAAATAAGATGCTTTTCAAATAATGGCTCTGCTTCAGTTCTGATGCAAGAAGCTGAAACTCCATAATACACCTGTTCTCCTTGGGGGAAAACGCAAGCCCAGTGTTCTGTTAGTACAGGTAAGAGAAGAACAAAGAGGCTGTATTTAAGCAGACTGGTTTACCTACAAACATGCCAGTTTACCTTTCAGTATGTTCGCAGACATAAAAATGTTGAAAAGTTTCTTGCCTCTCCAGCCCTTTTTTAGTCAACTAACAATACTGAGAATACAGAGAACTGCCCATTAAAATGGTAATGTAAAAAGACACTGATGCAACTCATTTAATAATATTCTTAACAATGCACGTCTAATTTTAGAACGTTTTTCCACTCTGACTCACATACACCACACTCCAAAACTAATAAGAGGCCTAACCAAGACACTGACTTCTAAACAGGAACGGCTGTGATAAAATGCAATTCATCTTTCTCAGAGAAGTTTTCAGGAATTACTAAAAACGACCTGTCTGCGGTAGTTTCCTAGAAAGCAAGGATCCTGCCTAACAACAAGAACGGAGTTCAGCAGCATCGCTGACAAAATCTGATACCAATGGTCACGCTGTTACGAGCTTAAACTGAAAAGCAAAAAACCAAACTTAAGTGACGGGTAGTCGCCGAGTTTGACTGAGCTAAATACAAGCAATAAATAAATCTACCGCCTATGCAACTGATTTCCCCTATACAGCATTTATTAACAAGTATATCCGTTCCAGAAACCTGTAAGTCTACTAACTTTTTGAATATACTTTGTAGGGATTGAAGTTTTAAGCTCCCTGGGAACTGTTGTGGAGCCCAACTCCCCTTTACAGTGCTTTCCCTCCTTCTCTGGGAGGCGTGGCACTTATTTAAACAAATCTTCCAAAGCCCAGGCTCGGGCAGTAATCCAAACTCTAGTTACAAGAACGTGTCTTGGATGAGCAATGAATTCAGTGCGTAGCTGTTGTCTTCCAAAGCAAAAAAAAAAAAAAAAAAAAAAAAAGATAGTGTCTGGAAAACAACCTGTCAACAGAAATTGGAGACAAAAGCTTTTCAAGGAGGGGAATTTTTTTTTTCCCTTCATTCTTTTTTGACGCTTCGTTCTAATTAATTCCAGAAATTTATAAAAAGCAGCTTGCCCCACAAGGGAAACATTTTCCTTCATCTAACTAGTAATTGCAATATGCTTAGCACCCCCTGCCTACTTATATAGGAAAGGATTTAGAGGCCAGATCCCACCAGGAACTTTTCGTAGCCTTCAGGACTGTAAGACACAGTAACTTACGTTCCCCGTTTGAAAACAACTACTGAAATAAACAAGACGATTTTATTTAATGGAAAACATCCACAGTGCAACAACACAGTAACTTTGCAATGAAAATCCGAATAAAGCTACATGCAAGTAGGTATTTTGCCGACTGCCATGGGAGCACCCTTCCCTGCAAGACCAAGTTTCTGGTGACTACTGGCAGGCTGTGCGAGCACGCAGTCTGCGCGTTAAGCATCCCTCCCCAGTAGAAGAGAACACCTCGTAACCCAGATGTTTCTCACTTTAAAAGAACGGTATAATAAATATTAAAAAGTGAAGTTTAACCCTTGCCTCCCTACAGAGCGGAGAGAGGAGAGCACGGGAGGAAAAGGGGAGAGCGAGGAAGAACCAGAGGCAGGTACCTACCCAAAACAAACCCAAGTGCAATTAACGGCAGCCCAACCGCCCGAGACCTACGGGGTGAGGAACCGCAACAACCATTTATCCGGGGGGTGCGGCGAGGAGCGCTGTGGAGAGACATGGCTCTGGGACACCTTAAATTTCCAGCCGCTGCCTTTAAAGGCAAGCCAGGGCCTTCACTGTTGCTCTTTGTGCAGCCGGAGAGGAGGAGGAAGAGGAGGAGGCGGCGGCGGGAGGGGAGGAAGGAGCAGCCCGGCTGGCGGCGTGCAGAG